GGGGAAAAAAAAAAAAAAAAAAAAAATGAACAATTTGAGATACTAGGATTGGAACTGCAAAGAACAAATAAGGTCAGAAATTAAAACTGGGAGTTTTGCAAGATTTAATCGAAATTATAAAATTCAGTTAGATAACAGTTCTCTCATGACAGCACCTGTATGCACTTATGAATTGCCAATTCAAAAGTTTGAATTATTTAAACTTCAATCGGAAATTAAGATTACTTCAATACAAAATAGTTAATACCTGGTACGGGCACATACCTGAGTAATTCCTGAGTATTACAATGAAAAAAGGCAGCTTGTGCTAATCACAGTAGCTCATTTCAGGCACTAATTTTATTCTACAAAGGTAATTCAGATCAATGGATAAAATTATGGAGGCTGCCTCAAATGTAGACTTAAAAGTTATACATCATAAAACTTATGACTGAAAAGTTTTACACAAATAAAAATAAAATATAATGTGGAATGTTAAAACTGTACTTCCAATTTGACAAAGCCTTGGAATACTGTCAACCTTTTTAACTATCTTTTGTAATTTTTGTATGGGTATGCGTTCAATATGTTCATGCTTTGAACTCTTCACTGACTTAAAAAAAAACAAGACAACACATGAGTACACATCATTAATCACAAATTAACACCTGATCTACATCCTTTGAAGTGATTTCGAAGAAATACTTAGGTGCCAAAGCACAAGAGAGGACTGAATGTTGTTTTTTAAAATCCCATTTCTGGATAGACTTTTTCTGCTTAGTAGTATAAAAGTTTTAGAAAGGTGGAAAATGTTACGGTGGTTGGTATCATATTGGAAAGGCATTGAATGATCCTCGAAGGGGCGGATTCTTCTGTGAAGAAAATTTACTTGAATTATCAAAATATTATGTCCCTTCCCCCACATGCAAAAACATTTTCTTGAATCGTCAAATACGTATAACAGTAATAACATTAAAATAAGAATCATTGCGCTCTGCATGAGCTAAAAAATTGTTATGACACTGATACTTAACACAAGTTTCTGGTAAAAATGTCTACTTATATCACATTGATGGTAACAACTACTTTACACTTCAAATGTCACAAACAGGTGTATGATAAAATAGGTCATTCTTAAAAATAAGCAGGTTTAAAAAATAAAAAAGGAAGCATTCTTAAAATTTACAAGGTAAATTGAGTCAATCAATAAAAGGCAAAGGGTAATTTGGCGATGAAAGGCAAGTTTCACACAGCCATTTTCATCTCAACTTTTGGATGAGGCTTGTAACCCTCCAACAGGAAATCTTCAAATTTGAAGTCGTCAATGCTGGAGATATCTCGCACAATTTTTAGAGTTGGAAACGGCCGAAGTTGTCGTTTGAGCTGCACATTAAGGGCATCAACATGGTTCAAATAAACATGGCTATCGCCAAGTGTGTGGATGAAATCACCAGGCTGCAAAAAAAAGGGATGGATCAGTAATTTTTCACTGGAGAAAAGACCGCCGGGACAAGATAATTGAAATGGAAATACCACTGCACAATCGCTGCATAGAGGAGCGTTTTACAAACATTTTGGCATAAACAACACCTAAAAAGCCAAACTTGAGCTACAATGGTTTAAAGCTACCGGTTTAAAAAAAACATCATTTTGAGAGAAAGCTGTCAAATTTTAATCCGACTTGTTTAAAGGTCAAAACTGCAAGATCTTGACAGAATTTTATGTCTTTCTTACCAAAAATGGTCTTTACTACTCAAAACTTGTTCTTTGAGACACATTAAATTCAAAACGTAATGACGCAGGTACTTTGATAACTCATAGTTGTAAAATAGTGTCACAATGCCTGTTCTCAAGTTGAAAAGAAATATTTTTGACTGGTGTTATGAGTTAGGAGTTGAATTACAAATATTTCAAAATTCATGGTCCCGGAAACACCTTGGATTCTCTATAGGTTACATTTTACAAGGGAGCATGAGGCTGTATTACATTAATGGCAAAAGTACGAAACCACATTTGGCCGTTTGCAAAATTGCAGACTTCCTGTCATACTTTGATGTTTCTTTAGAAAACTAGAGAAAGTAATTTCTGGAACATTTCTCTCATTTCCGTCCACTGTTGGCAGAATATTCTGTTAAAAAAAAAAAGGAACTGCTTCTGCTTTCTGTTGAAATTTCAAGCTATAAAATAGCTTGTTTTCTTTTGCAAAAATAAAATAATAGGAGCGGAAATTTTGAAACACGGCAATGGAAGTCATATTTTTGCTATAGACATACTGATGCCGAGATCACGCATTATGAATCCTGCTCTGTCGATGTTGCTATTCTTTGAATCTAGTCTTATCCTCTATTAGCTACTATGCTTTGAAAAGTGTCTTACAGTGCAGTTGAATAAGAGAGTACAAAAAAACTACTGACCCACAAAAATCTGAGACTCTTTTTAAAGCAAAAAAGCAATTTTTAGGATGGAGGACATCATTTTTAAAATGTTTTTTTCACTCTTGAGTCTCTGCACAATTAACAAGACACAATTTGATTGACTGACTATCGGTCTCCATAATCAATATAGGTTGCGAGAGAAGCTGATCACCATCATACTCCATTTTGCTGTAAGTTCTTGGTGAGATGAAACAGCCATTCAAAACATAGGAGGGACGAATGTTTTTTGGGTTTTTGTCAAGAAAAAACTGGAAAAAAATCTTGTATGGCATTGCAGAATTCTTGCGTCAGACTGCAGCTTTCATTAAAGAATAAGTTGAAACTTCCGTACGTTCATTGCTTGTCTCTAAAAAAGCCTTAAGGCATGCTACAACGCTTTTGGTCTGTCGACAATTTTCGACTTTATCCAATCCTTATGGTTCCCTGAAAAATTTTGCTCAAATGTGGCAAGCATGAAAAAGAGAGTAATAAGTAATACCTTAAGTTTAGTGATGTGAGCGATCATGTATGTAAGTAGCGAATAACTTGCTACATTGAACGGCACACCAAGGCCCATGTCAGCAGATCTCTGGTATAATAGACATGACAGCTCGCCATTAGCGACATAAAACTGAACAAGGCAGTGGCAAGGAGGCAGGGCCATTTTAGGAAGGTCTACAGGATTCCAAGCACACATTATAATGCGGCGATCATTGGGGTTTGATTTGATCGTTTCGATCACTTCTTTCAGTTGGTCAATGCCTTGATTGGTGTAATCTGTGAACATATCCTTATACTCGGCACCATAGTGACGCCACTGGAAGCCATAAACAGGACCCAAGTCACCTGTAAACATGAATTGTTGGAATTTTATAAAAGTGCATATAGATGACTGACTACATTTTGAAAATGCACAGCTCTGATTGGAAAATTCAAGTATCATCCTCTCATGTTACATTCTTCCAAAAGAAAAACTCAACAGTTTTCCAGAATCAAGAGAAAATTTTCTTTACTTATTCAAAAATATTTACATAAAATTTCAGGAAGACATTTTTGTTTGTTTGTTTGTTTCCTTTTAAAAAATCAAACATAATGAAAAGTTCATAAATGCTCAAATGAAGATGCTTATTTATTTTTATATTAACGATCTATGTTGTATAACTCTGTGGATGATAGTTGGTCAGTTCAATGCTGAATTTTGTTTGAAGTCCTACATGAGATTCTGCTGTTTCTTTTTCTTTAAATTTCTTTCTATCTTTATACAATACCTTCAACTCGATCAGTGAGTCCAAGGCTGTCCAAAAACTCCCTGGTGCTATTAGGATCCCAGATCTTGACATCTTTCTCAGAAAGTTCTTTTGCATTAGTAGAGCCTCGAATAAACCACAACAATTCCTCTGCAACGCCACGCCAGAATACTCGTTTTGTAGTGAATAAGGGAAAAACACCTGCAAGAAATGAAGATGCAAATTGTTAAAATATCTGCCAGACATGTACTTTAACAATGACTTTTTCTCAATTTAAGCGTCTAAGACCATGCACCACAACTTGTTTTTCGGGGTTGATGGAGATAGACCAGCTTTGTAACCTTTAATTTATATTTCTTCTTCTTTTAAAATGTGTATTTCATCACTCACACCTAAAAACTTCAAAACAGGGTAGGAGTCTACTACTGGAGGAGGCTTAGACAAGATTTCAATGAAGGTTAGAATCCCTGTATTAGAGTGAGTGTTCTGAAGCCTTTTCTAGTTATAGTGCTGACAGCCCATCACTTGAAGCCCTCAAAACACATATTCTTGATTGTTGGTTAAATTAAAGGGTATGACACATTGAGGGTTAGATTTGTAAAAAACTTAGGTAATGCACTCACCATCTCTTAATGAGTAGCGCATTTGTGCACCAAAGAGGGAAAGAGTTCCGACCCCTGTTCGGTCTCCTTTCCTGACTCCTGTCTCAATAATTTTTTTTACATGATCTAGGTATTGTTGTTCATCTGTTACCACTGGCACTTTACCATTTGATACCTGAGAAAAGTAAATGTAAAGCAGCAATTCAATATGAATTAACAGAACAGCAAACATGCCGGTGAGATTGACCAGAAGAAATTGCTTGGTTTTGCAAGACTTAGCAAACCCGAGGCATCCTAGCAATCAGTGTCATAGGCAAGAAGGAGGGGGGTCCAGGGGGTCTGGACCCCCCCCCCCCTTAGCCTTGTTAATTTTACCTTTTGTTACTTTCAGAGGGCAGACATAAAATATTATCGAGGACTTGCACAAAATAATGTAAATGTACCGCCACAGGCACCCCCCCCCCCCTTTCAGATTTCCTAGCTACACCACTGCTAGCAATAAGAGGTAATTTTAATTTTTTTTGTTTTCAACTTTTCCATCCAACTTTTCGTTTAATTTTGAGGGATGAAAAGTTTGATAAAGTGAATTGGGCTTTACCTACCCTTTTTTTCTTCAAAATTCCCTGATTTGCATCCTTCAGAATTTTAAGTTTACATGTATACTTATGGTTAACTTTGTACAAGGAGTACCTAACGTTTACACAAGAGAGGAAAATGGTGCAGACAGGATGGCTAGAAAAATTTCGATTTATCATTTCCTGATTTTTCGCTGAATTCTTTCACTGAAATATCCTGAATCCTTGACTGCACATTTTCCTTTGGGCCCTAAAGAGGATAAGAATGAACGTGTTAATGTTCAAGGATCGCACCAGCAGGATTACAGATAACAGGTAGAAAATTACGTTTCTAAGTACGTTTATAGGAGTGCTAAACTGTCAGTATGAATACCTATCGATCTTCAGATCTTCCATAGGCGCAATGCTATTTTTTTTAACAGATGTATCTTCACCTTCCAAGTTGAGCGCTTCTAAAAACGTGCTTGTTATGACTGCAAATATCTGCTTCTCACTGAAAGTTTCCTCAGATCAAATTCTGTGGAATGCATTGATAGTCCAACTTGTCAATCATCTTGTCAATGATGCTTTCTTGCTGTGCTTACATAAGAATCAGGAAATTAATTATTGGTCCATAGTAAACACGAGAGTGTACCTAACTTGACTTGACATTCTATTAGGAGCAAGAGAATGTAGCGGAGACAAACTAATACTTCAGACAGGCATCCTTACCTCTTCCTTTGTTCCAGTCATTACAACATACAACACTCAAGAATCTTGCTTCACTTCTGAACTACACGCTTGAGTTTAAAAGACACAATCCTTTAACTTGGACTAATTCAATGGAAAAAGAATGATAACATATCTTATCGTACCTACACTGAAATTATTAAACTTTCCTCTCTACCACAGAATATATAGGCTTCATCTATATGGGCCAGGTGAAGCCTATATATTCTGTGTCTCTACTTGGGCGCGGTTTCGGACGTTTGAGGTTATGTTATCACTTTCCATGTTGCTTGTTTACACTAGGGTCACCAGGTTGTGCGATAAAATGTGGATATTTCGCATAGGTTTAAAAGGGATAAGTGCTTATTTTTAGCATTATCTGGCAACAATAGTTAACACAGTAATAGCTCCCCCTTCCTGCCTTTATACGGATGCTTGTAGGATATTGTTACATTGAAAATTCCGAGTAAGTAATAGCGTTGATTTGTTCTCCAGGGGCGGACTGGGACGAAAAAAGTTACCGGGAAATGTACAGCCAAACCGGTCCACTACTGAAATGGGGGTGGGGGGGCACCGCCCAGAGAGGGGGGGTCTGGGGGCCCTCCCCCGGAAAATTTTGAAAAATAAGCACCTCTCGAAGGCATTTTTAAGCACGAACATACGCAATTAGAATGATAAAATATTTTTAAAGTTGGCTGCGACCATGGAGCATAAAGCGGCCCTGTGGAACAGTGGAGGCCCGTGGAGCCTCACCCTATTTTATGAGAAAGTGACCAGTTCTTTAAGATTTTATCCCATTTCTCCATATATTTCTAGACTATGGAGATAAAGATAGAAAGAAAGAAAGACAAATAAAAAGAAAAATAAAACAACACGATTAACCGACCGGCCCAAAATACCAACCGGCCCACCGGGATTTTTCCCGGTGTTCCCGCCTGCCAGTCCGCCCCTGTTGTTCTCCTACGATGAAATGAAAGCAGATATTTTGAAACCCTGCAAACAAGATATGTACTTGTTCCTGCAGCTTAATAGTTGGTGTTTTTTTTTTCCTTTACCAATTTTCAAGTAACTCATAAGGCTTATCCATCCCACGCAACGTGGGTGACCATATGATATCAAATGTAGGGATGAAAAGATCCATGTAAATTATCACCCTTTCAGTAGAAATGGATTGAATACTTTGGGGAAGTTACAAAGATCGAGATAAAATTGATGTTTTAGTTCTTCTCATCAGTGGACTGTCAGCTAAAAACTTAAAAATCAATAATCTGCAAATAATTTTACTAAATTGGAACTTTTACATTTTGTGCTCCCTGTAACGTTGAACATCTGCATATTTTTAAGTCAAAGTTATCCTCCTTTCACCTTGATTTTTCATTTCTTTAACGCATACTTATTGCAAATAAACTTACTGAAGCAACTATCTGTTTAAAAGAATAACTTAAACATATTTAGATTTTTGCTCTTGTGTGGTATCTTTAAAGACTTCTTTAGGAATAGAAAAAAAAAATAATAAAATAGAAGGAGAAAACATTAAACTCAAGAAATTAAAAAGTCACCACAGTTCCAGGACTCACATAAATTGAAGATCTTGTTCTGAAAAGCGCGTGACTCCGGAAAAAAAATCCAGAAAATGAAAAAACGGAACTAAGCTAAAAAATTTCTGTGTTTCGGGCGCATGGTTATCAGTTTTCACAAGGTGCCATACAGCCAAATGAAACTCTGCTGTCCTTCAATTATACAACAGTGGAGTAAGACACTTTTTTAAACAAACCAGAATTCAAGTCGGTCTTATTAAAATAAAATGAATAAAAAATAATTAAAGATAAGTATGATCCTAGAAACAACTCCACTGGAGTAAAAAGAAGTTTTGACTTTTCTTAAGTTGCACCACTACTTATGGCTCAGTTTGTAAGTTCGACTCAGCTCTTCATTATTTTTGTGAGTTCAGCTTTTTGTTCGTTTTTTTTTTTATGTTTTCTTTATTTTCACTGGCTTTTCTCTTCTTCTTTTATTTCAACTGGTATTGCCGAGCAAATGCAATAATTGTAAAATTTCCTGACTTTGCTACATCATTTGCGATTTCCTAGTTTTTCAAAAACTCTGACACTGTAACCTACTTGCAAGGATAAGTTTATCTGAAAAAGTGTACACAGAAAATTTACTACTTTCTTGTGAATCACATCTGTTAATCAATGGATCTTTGTGCCAATTCAGCAAGTCACAGTATACATCCTAAATTATATTGATGTTCTTATTCTGATGGAAGTATATTAAAATTAAACCAGATCTCAACTAGTATCAGATAAATTTCCAACAAATGTGCAATACTTCTCTCGCTTTGTTCCCCTGAGTTTCAACTACTTTTCCAATCTTCCAGTGTTTTAGTTGTCTCAACATGGGTGCCTACCCGAAAACGCTGAGGAAAACGATATGGAAAGTCTTTCTGTGTATCACAAATACTACTTGGGCTTCACAGATATTTAGTAAAAAATCAAATTTGTTATTGATTCTAAGTGGGATTATTTTAAGGATAACACAAGAGATTAAAAAAAAAAAATTTAATATAAAAACTTAGGCAACAAATTCATAAGGTATCGGAGCTAGGTCAATTGGTTTCTGTCCCTTAACAATGTGGCCAGGTCTTGGTCCTTCCGGCTGAAACAAAAAAAAAGAAACATGGAAGCTTGATGTGTAGAAGTAATAAAATAAAAAATAAGAAAAAAACACAAGAACTATATTGGTTGAACTTCAAAATGTCCTAATTATACTAAAAGATTTTTTAGTATGATGTATGCCAAAGTAGAATGACAATGAAAGAAATAATCACAGTATCTATGATGCCGTCACAAGTTTTCTTGGATTTCGAAATTCTCTAACTAATCAATAATTTCTTTTGGCATGATTTTTCATACGACTTATTTTCACAAAAAATTGTAAGTAGTCTCTTGAAATTGAAAGGATGCTGTGCGTTGGTTGGAAACAAAAATTTTAAGATTCTGCAGCTGAATTTCCTGGCTTTTCCAGGTTTTCCCGGACTTTTCAAGGACTTGGCACTCCACACCGGAGTTATGATTCAAATCTTAAGCTGTTGCACACACATTATAAAGTTAGATTTAGACTTCATTATTTTTTTAAATGTGATTCCAATCAAAAGGTCAAAATATCACAGCTGCCTGAAGGTGTAAAAGATACAGATATCAACAGATTGTGTGCTCGTTACAGAAATCTTCATCTGAGGAGTTCAAAGAATCTTTGAAACTTTATACAACCCTAATGTAACCCATTACAACAGCTAAATTGCAAATAATAATTCTCTTAAAACTGACTATTTTCAAATAAATAAGTTTGATCTATATCTTAAAGAGATACAAAAAAATTCGCCAAAATTCATTATGAGCTTGAAAAGAAAAACAATCTCACCTGTCTTTTGAGGAAGTTTTTGGGTAATCTGATTCCTTTGGCTGTGGCTTCTCTCTTCAGCCTTTCGTTTTCTTGTACCCTCCGGATGTGGCCATCTCTGCATTTTGAGGGCTTTACATGTTCAATCCGTACATTGATTCTGTGAGAGAAACAAAAGATTATTGTGCAATTTGATTAATTACGAAGTGACTTGAATGAAGCATTACCTAACAATAGAAAGTTTATTTTGTTCTTTTTTAGTTTCCATCACTTTGGAAAAATGAAAAAGTATTAATTCAGCAAAACTATAGTTTGTCATGTTAACTTATTACTTTCGTTCAGGTCTGAACTTAAGTGTACATCTAGCTTGTTGTATCACTATCTATCAACCAAAGGATTAATGGGGTCATAATTGTTTTTTTAAAAGAAACAACTTGCCAGGAGTCTAGAACAAGGAAAGCCACAATTACACCCCCCAATTTTGGCAAGCATGATTACATCAGGAGAGGCTACCTCAATTACACTCAGCACAAAAGTTACAAAAATATTTTTTAGTATTTCCAGGTCCTTCTGCGGACAACAAAACAGGGGTCTGGTAGTTTTGAGTGTGGTTACTGTTGGCCATAAGCCGATCAAAACTAGGTGGGGTACTACTTGACTTTTCCTTAGAAGTTCACATCCAATAATAAATAATAGCAGCAGCTTTTCTGTATCAAGCCAGGTATGACAGTGAAGCCAAGAAGGTTAAAATATTAAACAGATAATAACAGGATAAAGAGTTTTAGCTGGAGAAAAAGGAAAATTTTTCAGTAAAATTGAAGCTTTACAAAAGCTAATGGTTTTTATTGGAGTTTTGACCAGTCTTACACAGAGAAGAATCTTAAAATTATGGTCACTGACCTTTTGGGGATGATCCTGTTGCGAACTCTTTTGTTCACAATGACACCAACAGCATGAGCGGTGACGTTGTAAACTTTGCCAGTTCTTCCATGATACGTCTTGTGGGGCATACCTTTTTGAACTGCACCATTACCCTAATGGAAATAAATTAAACTTGTGAATCAAAGCAGATGAAATTTTACAATTATTTACACCTATTGAGTCTGTCTAGTTTTTGGAGAGTACAGAACATGAAATTCCCTTTCTCCTCCTTTTTTCTCACACGAGCCTCTAAGGAATTTTTATGCAAACCCTTTTTAATGAAATCAGTGCTGTGTTACTTTTTCTTCAATTTTCATTGAATCAACCCATCCGCATGTATTGACAAGTACACTCATTACAATCACCTGGGACAAACATGCATGGACAAGTTGACTCACGCCCATTGCGGCATGTTGCAGTGTTGCTGGTCCATCATTTTATCATGTTCCTCCAACTTTCTCATAAATGGTGCTAGTAGCATTGTTCTAAATATTATTTTGAAGTATTCTGTTGGTAACTAGAATGAATCCTGGTGATTTTTATTCATAAGGAGTGACGGAGTATCTTTACTGAAAAACATCATTGACTTTCAAGGTGATGCAGGCAAATGGGCCTGTTGCAAACTTTTGCTAGAGCAAAAATAAGAGTTGTTTCTTACAGATAATGTCTTAAAAATCAAGATGAGTGCATCGGCAAAGTCTGAAATGCACTAATAACTTCACAATCTGCGAAGGAGATTTGCATTTCTTTGAGCTTCCCGTTTTAAAAACTATATTACAGCACAGGTGAACATTTTGTTAGAGGAGTCGTTCCATCGTTGGCAATATTCATCATGGCCGATGCCAATCTGCCAAAACACGTGTAACTGGACAAGATAACACCTGACCAGGATAAGACCAGATACCTAACAATCGGCGAGTTTACGTTCATAGTTTCCTCGCCTGTTTTGATTGACCTTGATCTCTCCTCGAATTATGCACGGAACTGCGGAAGCGTTGGCCATGATGAATATTGCCAACGATGGAACAACTCCTCTAACAAAATGTTCACCTGTGCTGTAATATCGTTTTTGAAGCGGGAAGCTCAAAAAAACACAAAATTCTCACGCAGATTGTGAAGTTTTAAGTGCATTTCAGACTTTGCCGATGCGCTCATCGTGATTTTTGAGACATTACCTGTAAGAGACAACTCCTATTTTGGCTCTAGCAAAAGTTTGCAGCAGGCCCATTGATCATCGCATGCAAATGGGTTAATGAGGTGGAGATGCAACATCTGTTTCAAGCAAGATTTTGATTGAAAGAAAAATCTGAGAGGGAGGACATTCCAACTTACTTTAATGTCGACATACATTCCAATTTTGTATGTCTTCATGTAAGTGGAAAGTGGGATGAGACCATGTTTGCGGAAATCTCGGGCGAAGGTGTACCGAGTTCCTCGACGATAACCTTTAGAGTTGACCATTTTGTCTTAGGGATCTGCAAAAAAATGAAAACATCATGTAAAATGCATTTCTACAATCTAGAAGTTGCAAATACCTCAGCAAATTCACCTATTTGGCAGACAGGGAAATTCATAATAGAAAGTGAGGTCACAGAGCAAACTCTTCCCAAGTCGTCGATCAGTTAGACAGCAGTAGATCTTTCATTTTCTCCAAAACAGTTCCACCGAACAGCTAAATACATGCATCTAGATGGCACCACTTGAGGGTGCAGAAAGTTCCAAGCCTCCAAAATATTAATGGCTAAAGTTCAAAACCACATGTCTCCACGGCAATGTTTCAAAAATATCTGCTCCTGTCATATTTTGGCTAGGAGAAGCGAGCCAACTTTTCCATTTGAAATGAACATTGAATGTATTGTGCTGACAGGGAAGAAATATTAAGGGAGTTTTGAGGAAAATATGAAGTATAACAGGAAGTCTGCATCGTTCTACAATGAGATCCGTGATTTGGCACTTTGACGACCAGTATGATTGACTTTTTCCCATTAATGACCAAAACTCACCACCATTTCTGGGGTAAAGACTAACAAGATCAAAAAATTGAACTTCTACCACCAAAAAATTGAAATTTATCCCAGGAATCTTGGACTGAAGCTTCCCGACATCCTCGAGAATAAGACAGTCAATAGCACTGAAAACTGAGGATCAGTAATTTTGAATCCAAGTTGGATGTATACATGCACAGAACAGCTTGAATTCCCACTTGGGACTGTACTTCGCCTGGCTTCGTCACAATTATCTCCTGTGCTTCAATGTCCACAAACTCGAACTCATAACTTAGTACTGTCAATCCACGAGACGATTTATGGTCAATTGTCAGAGTAGTGGTGTCATTTAGGGCATCATTGATGAGGTGAAAGATGTGATCATGGACATTTACCGCAGCGAGATGCACTAGATGGGCTGCCAGAGGCTTGGGTCTCAAACATAAAAGTATTAATCCGTGGAAATGATACCACGTACTGTACTGATTAACTTCCGTTGAGGAAATGATTTACGAGGGCAAAAGGAATAAAAAGGAAATATTGGGAAATGAATGAAAAGGCCATGTGTCAACTGTGGAGAGGTTAGAAAGTTACCGACACTACAGGTAGGTGAAGGCGTACGAGCCATGATTCTCTGCTTGTAATTCAAAAGAATATTACTCAATAAACTTAGAATTACTTAAATTTTGAAGAGTACTTACATTTTTCAACAATTAATACACTTTCCACGCTGTTAACTGACAAAGTTTGCCAAGCGCCTAGACCGTTGCCAGATTCCGAGAGACGAAGTTGGGCCGGAACTCGGCAAAAACCACAGGAATGAAAATGAAAGGACTGAAAGCGGACCAGAGGAAGAAGCGGGACCTTTAAAAAAGCGCGTATCAAACGAGCTTTTTCGAAGTGTAAGCAAAAAGTTTATTTTATGATTGTGGTTTGCATTTTCTAATCCGATTAAAAATATTTAAGCACTTATCCAAATATAAATAGTTTATTTGAGTATACTTAATGAAAAATTGTGCAATGATTTCCATCTAGGAGGGCGGGAGAGGCGGTGGGCTTGTCGGCAAAATGGGTCATTTCAGTCATTTCACGCTCGTGGCGGATACCTTCGAGACTTGCCCTACACTACTCACCCTCGCAAGAATGCCCCATCTTTCCCCGAAGCTCCCCCTAAAAATTTTCGCGAGACTCGGCGGGGGATCAAAGTTGAAAATCGGCGAAATTTTTGCGAATTTTTTTTTGAGCATCAAGAGGTTTTGCAAGACCCGGTTGAGAGCTTTTAGAAAATGTACAACATCATAGGGGTTTGTTGATTCTAGCTCGAGTTATCCTTTCCAACGTGGCGGTGCTACGGAATATATTTTATGTTGTTCCTGATTCTCTGTAGCACCTGTGGCTCTCAGCCGCATGCTATAAGTGCAGGGTAATCTGATGACAGGATTGCCGTAATACTGCCAAGCATTAATTTATTGTTTCCTGTCTCTATCTTGGACAAAATTAAGGCAATCTTGACGGAGGATTGGGACCNGGGGGGGGGGGGGGGATGCTCAAAGAGAAGAGAAAACAAGCACGGGTAAAAAATAAGTGAAACGAAAAATTTATTTTCTCATCTTTTAAATAGTTACGGAATGAAATTTGAACATCTGTAACGACGCACACAATAATTATTGACGCATACTGAATGACGGACGGTAAACCTTGGCATTCTGTCTCGCCGATCGCAGCCGATCGCGACAGCAAAATACCAACAGCCACACACTGTACATCGTTGCCAAAAATATGTGTATTTTGAGGTCGTATGGTGTTCCATGTATTGCTGAAACTGGAAGACTCTCAAAACGGCAACGTAGCACTGTGCATTAAAGTGTCATGGCTGAAGGCTGATTCACTTCTTGGAGGTCCCAAGTCCCTTACTGGGGTTATAACGTCAATCAAAAATGACTAGCAAATCTGATAATATGGAAATTGTGTGCGAGGGATGGTTGACAAAATCACCACCTACAAAAAGGATTTGGAGAGCTGTAAGTACCAAGTTAACCGCATTATTTTTCGTAGCCATTACCTATCCATCTTCTGTTTGGAGTTAATTTAAATTTTACCTTTGTTTTTGATGCCCCCACTTGTCAAAACAACACCTATCATTACTGATTTCTTACATCCATCAAGTATTTAAGTAAGAGTCGACATATTCATGACCTTTCTCTGGCCTTCTTCATCTTAAAAAGTTAAATGAAATATAAGTGTTGAGGTTCTTTTCTGGCTAATATTTTTCACTCAGAATACTTCTACATGTTATAAATCCCTCCCTACACTTACAGTTCACCACTCTTTTTCAATTCAATTTAAGAAATGGTCTCCCAAGTTGCCTCTGCCGCATGAGGAAGAGCTCCTCTGTAATAAGTTTTTGTAGCTCTGGTTTCAAGAACGTCAACGTTGATATCGACCCCAGTAGGCTGACCATTTTGAGCAGGGTATCGGAATCTCACACTTTTATCTCATAGGTAGGGAACACTTTCAGCTCAGATTACTACTCTAATCCCTCATTTGATCTCAATCTCGAAGATCAGTCGTCAATCGATAGCAAGATTTCGTCTGTAACACCAAAGCACTTCTAGATTTGAGTAAACACTGCATCGTCGGTCCCATTTTTATTCACTGTTGTGTTTGTTTAACTAGAAATAAACTCAAGCTCAATAACTAAGTAGTCCAAAATGGGATATTTAGTGAACTTAGAAAGTAATTGATAAGAAGGCAACTGGGTTGAATATGAAAGCCTCATCAAGTTTCATAGCTTGTTATTTTGGCAAAAATATTGACAGGTATAAATTCATAAAGTCAAAGAATTTCTCATGCTTCCTCAATTACCTGAAGGAGCTGGGCCTAGAATTCTTTAAGGATTTGCACATCCTGTCGCGGTTAAACCTTCCCTTCAGTTCAAGTGAAAGCTTTTTAATTGATTTTATCAAAAGTCAAACTGCATATGAAATTTTCCTGTTCCAACTTGGAAAACTGCTTCTCCATAACATTAAAAGTCATCAACAAACTCACCTTGATGATATGGTGTTGCTTAAACCACATTTTCATCGAGAATGTCCCACTTGTCCTCTTCATGCTCAATTTCTTAACTCGGAAAGTGATGTTTGGATCAGGGATTTTTTAAGTTAAAAGAGGTAGGAATGAACCAGCAAACTTCAAGTCACTCACCTACTTTCTCAAGTATTTGTGCCAGAAAGAATTAATTGAGGATAGAAGTTTAGTTCTAGTTTCCCTTTTTATTATTGTTTCTGTTCGCTCCTGATTACTCATTCCAGGAATGCTGATTCTCTCAGTGTTTCAGCACACAGGGTGTCGGCAGTTCTGGAAAATTGAGAATTGTCAAGACTATTTCATTAGGTCTGAAAGATGACAATTTTTACGTGAAACAGGGAGAGAGTCTGGCAAGGTGTGATGTGCTTTTTTTGGTATAGCTTCGAACCCGCGAGACAGGTGGATAATGAGGGGGAAGGGTGGGGACAAAATTTCTGTGATATGATTTAGATGACCCCTTGAGCTCAGCTCTCTTTTTCACAAACAAGCTGCCCCAAAAATGTTGCCGTTTATCAAAGTTAAACTGTGTTCCAAATCCGTCATCAAACATGCTCAATATCTGTGGGTTTTTGTACAATGCATCTTTCATGCTATTGAATCGTGTCTGAACTCCAAATTTTGTTTTTCAATTTCAATGTCTCAAATTTTTCATGCATACCTACCTAAGTTTTTTAAAGGAGAGGGTGAGATTTAACTTCTCTGCTTGAAATTTCCTGTGCTTTAACTCTCAAATCCAGAGTCATCCTTTAAAAATTATAGTCCAAATGTTATTTTGTTTTTCCTCCCAGCAATTTGAATGTGAGCAGAAAATGTCAAAATTTTTTGATAGAGCTATGGGGTTTTGGAACTCAGCCATTGTGAAGTTTATGGTACGATGAGTGTATCCCATTTGTGCAGTGTGTGACACAATCCTGAGCTGTGCGTTTCCTGTGGGAGCTGATAGCTTATCTAACTTTTTATTTATCTAAACAAATGTAAACTATCCTTGCCATTGCTTTGAAACGATATCCTCTTCTCCTCCCCCCCCCCCCACTTTAGGCTCAGCATTACACTAGTTAATAAGAAACAAAACCACATATCTGCCTTTCCCTCATTTTGAAGATTTCTCATCATATCTAACTCGCTGACGATCAACATATTATTGTTACCCCATAATATTTTGTGGGGTTTCTCTTTTGCCCTCCAAGAATATCCATTGACAATTTTGTATACAAATTTTTAGTATATTTGCGTTAAAAATAAAGGAACTACAGAAATTTATGACATCAAGAATTGCATTTTCTAGGTTTCACTTTTGACATATTCTGTCTTGAGCAGTTTTCATGGGGTACCCCAAGTTGTTGGCGAACAGTGAGTAAGGAGGCTCAACAATTTTAGGTGGGCCTAAAATGCTCCCTTAATTTACCAGCTCAAACTAAGGTGTTTAATTGTTAGGAAGTTTAATTCTCTGTTAATTTTCCCTAGGAAAGTAAAAAGTCATTACCTGTCTAAAACTTCAGTACCACCTAAGTACAAGTACCCTTTGAATATGGATGGAAAAACCATTTCAGAGCTGTTTGTTTGATAATATTCCCATCAATTTTTTTCCAGTTAGATCAGGACAAATTCTGAGAGTGGGGAAGTCAGAAAAATTCTAGGAATTAGGAGAGCAAGTCAGGAAATTACTGGAGTTTCTCATCGAGGTGCATTTGCTCAAGGACCAAGGGCTGACTAAGTTAGGAACTTAGAATTTTTTTTGTAAAGGATGTTCCACCAAATAGTAAAAAAATACCGAAAAAGTATGGAAATTTTAAATATAAATAACGTTGAAGACCCTGAGTATATCATCACAGGAAATCTCTCTGCTAAAAGCTGCTTACTTGAATGAAATTGTTAAAATGTATTCGCTTTATTTTGGGACGGTTTCACTGACTTTCACTGTTTGTTTCAGCGATGGAGAAAACGATGGTTTGTTTTACGGCACTCAGGGGAACTACCGGGACAGTATTTCCTTTGTTACTTCACAGACAGGAACTGTAGAAAACTAAAAGGTCAAATTGATTTGGATCAATGTGAACAGGTGAGCTGTTAATTTTTTCCTCTGAGCAAATGTTTGATGATAGCTACTCCTTAAAACAAGCACACCAAACTGGCTCAGAACTCTTTGACATTGAATTTCTTCCTTAATGATGATTAAGAGCTAATTAATGATATAATGATTCCTTAATGAGCGCCTCTCCGAATGCATGATTTGACTTTGATTTGTAACAATATTCTTAGTTGAAATTTTTACATTCTGGTAGTTTGAATGATTTGAATGCTGTATGAGTCAGTTGTGCTGGTCACAGAATTGCGTTTTGATGCTTGATTCTTGTAGATTTGCAAAAAACAATATGATCTGTTCAAACCGTAACTTTGTATATTCAATATGAACCGAGGTATTGCCCTTTGAAAAGTCAGGTTTTTGATGTCATCCACCGCGGCAGTGACAATCTTAGTTTCTTCCTCTTTCGTTCAATCAGTGATGCTGAGGGTGCAACTCGAAACTTCAACAGAGTTAAACGTAAACAAATTTAAGAAATAGACGGATTCACACTTTAAAGATCTGCTTATCAGGAGATAACGCTCTTGCCGCGAAGAGATTAGGCGGTCAGTCAGTTCACCTTTCAGTTTGTTTACATTTAACGTTGCGAAACTTTCGCGTTACACCCTCTGCATCACTGATCGAACAAAATAGGAATAAATCAAGAGTGTCAATGCCATGGTGGATGACGTCAAAAACCTGGCTTTTCAAAGGGCGATATCTCCGTTAATATAGAACAAAGAAAGTTGCAGTTTCAACAGATCCTATTATTTTCAGCTAATCTACAAAAATTAAGCATCAAAACATGATTCTGTGACCAGCGCAACTGACCCATCACACAATTTCTTTTCTCTGAGCAGAATAGATAATAATTCATCAATTGCATAACCAACAAGTTTGGACTTTTGAAAATATTATAAACTCCAGAACAAGTTTTTCCATTTTTTCATAATCACTATCAATTTTCAATTTAAAACATTAGATCAACAATCCTGGCATCAGGTTTTATTTCATGGCCTGGTTTTGTTTCCTAAAAAAGCTAAGCTAAATTTTGGGTTGATTACAGGTGGATGCTGGTTTTCAATTTGAAAATGGTAAACTCAAGTACCAACATATGTTTGATGTGAAAACACCAAAAAGGACGTACTATCTAGCTGCAGATTCTGAAGAAGAAATGAACCGTTGGGTCGATTGTGTTTGTCAAGTCTGTGGCTTAAAAGCGTATTCTCAGGAGGATACTAACAATTGTAAGTTTTCTTCTTCCTTTTATTTCCTCTCTGCTTGTTGTTCCTTGTTTTTTTGAGAAAACAAACATCATTTTACCGGAATAAATACAATTTTAGGAGCAAAAACATTTTTATTTTGGCAGAGTTTACCAGAAGTAGCCTAACTACATCAGAAGCTGCCTCATTTCCTTTTCCCCCTTTTTTTACTCAATTTAGCCCAGTTAAGATGCTGGAACTACAAGTTCATGCTCCGGGCTTACAAATTTTTAGAGATTTAGGCCGAGTGAAGTCCTCTCGTGTTTAATTTTTCAATAGGAGAGTAATCAAAATCTATATATTTAATATCCTAAGGCTTTTTTTGTCCTCCTTCAGTTTGGGCGGTTTGTACTAATTCGATCTCGGAAACCACTGGACCGATTTTCCTAGGATTTGTTTTAAATGAAAGCTCTTAAGCTCTAGATGTGCCAGCACCCCTTGGTTTTTCGATTTGCGCGACCGACGTTTCAAAATGTCTCTCAAGTCAATTTAACTTATTCCACCAGTAGAGCCTTATACCATCAGTAAAGCCCAAGGTCAGACATTAGATCGTGTTGGCATTTACCTGCCACAGCCTGCATTCACCCATGGACAACTTTACGTTGCACTCTCGAGGGCTACGTCTCATGAAAAGTAAAAGTTGAAATTGTCCCTGAAGATAGACGTACAAAAAACGTCGTATTCAATGAAGTCATTTAATTACCTGTAGTAGCAAAATTTGACTCGTTTCCCGAGCCAACAGTCACTCGCTCCACGAGTGACTGGGGGTCCAAGGGGCGAAGCCCTCGGCTAGCGGTGCAAGTGAGTGTAGCGAGCTGAAGCAGCTAGTTCAGTTTTAAATTTTAGTGAATGTATTCCCTGTAATCTAGAGGACATTTATAGAGGGTTTCATGAAAATGTGTTGATCGGTTCTTTGTTCAAAAAATTAAACTCGAGAACAATATTAAGCAGATTTTAATGCAGCTAGGCTCAATCCGCATATGGCAACCCATTCATTGAGTAGAAAATCCGGAACAAAGGACAAGTCAGAAGCAGGAATTTGAAAATAGCCGTATTTCAGACCATCCCCAAAGATAGAGAGATAGAGTGATCTCCGTACATGAAGTTTCTGTAATATGATCTGTAATCCAAGAGAATTTGAATAATTAATTATGATACCAATAATATCTTAAACCATGGAGGGATTACCTGATCAATGGTGGAATTATTTCAAGCGGAACAATAATGTATTCAAAATTGAATGAAATTCATATATTTGAATGCATAGATACTTGCTTTCACATGACAGCTATAGCTATGGTATATGTCAAGAGGCTGTATAAAGGAACTTGGAAAATGAACCATTTAAGAATTCATTCAAATCGTAGTAAGCATTACTACAGAGAAGATTTTTTAATTGACAGAAAAATGTTCCCAAGCTACCTTTGCAAGGTAGATTCATAATTTCATCATCTGGGAAGAGAATTATGCATCTGTATTGTAGAGTACTTAACAAGTTATTCTCTACAGGTCAGTTAAATCCTTACATTATCAACATCTTAATGCCTGCATATAGCACAGTAATTGTGGGAGAGTCGCAGATCAGAGAGAAGGATCAGGTGGTTGGATCCAGCAAAGTTTAAGCAATCAAATATGAAATCAAGTCCAGTAGTTCCTGTGCCAAAATCCTCAGTACATTGACCAATCAACCACAGTGTTAATTTTTATCTTGTCTGAAGGGCAAATAAGATTCAATTAACAATTTATACTCATGAACAATCTACCTTTTCACCTTATTTTTTAAAATTACCTTCTACTCACCACCAGCTTTGGTTTGTATAAGGTTAAAACTTTAATATTCAAAGGCCACTAATATCTTCGCTTTCTAATTTGTTTTTCAGTTTATGATTTCAACGAAACAGAAGATCAGTCAACATCTACAGCCTCAGCTGCAGACTCGACGCAAACAGCAGAAGCTTCACCTCCGGTTTCGCCTACAAGTATTTCTGGTCCGTACATCCCAATTTCTGAGTGCATTTCGGGGAAACCTCTCTCTAGTCCTGTTGGCCTCAACCAATTTCTCCTTTTCCAAAATGGCACCGGTCCGCTCACCCCTTCTCCTGTTCCAACGCCTTCACCAAACCCCTCGCTAAATCCTCCTTCGAATCTGAATAATCCATCCTCTCACTTCTCAAACAAAACATATTCTAAAACTATAACAGGAATAACAGATGATGAATATGACTCACCGCGGCGGTTGCGTCCACCGGGTAACCTGGATCTGCGCAATGTCTCTTCAGAAGGAACTCCCCCCTTGCAAAGCCCTGCGACAGATCAAGAGTCCGTCTTCACTGATGATGAGTCACTTACAAGTAATAAACCGTCGGTGAACTGGGAGACTTTTCCACGACCTTCAGACTCCTCTATAGAAGGCGAGTTACCAAAAACACTGAGTGCAAGGAAATTCACAAAGCCAGATGCTGGTGCCCCGCCTCCACCACGCCCTCCCAAACCCTTGCACTTAGTTCTGAACTCTCCGTCAGAGACAAACCCATCGGAAACGAATAAATCACCCAGTAACTCAGAACCGGAAGAGTGTCCTTTGATCTCTGACGAGACTTACGATTTCCCACGATCTCATCAAATGTGTGCTGAGGAAGGCCAAAAAGAGGTGGAAAATACAAGCAGGCATTGCTACACAAATGCAGCACCAGGGAGAGTGCAAGGAGACGTTTTTAGGTAAGATATTTTACCTTTCTCTTGAGGTGTAGCTCTAGAAGCTCTGTTAACATGTAATATTATTTTCTTTTTACAATGTTCAAATAAAAATCGGTCCAGGTAATAATAATGCCTTGTAAGTTCCTTTGAGGACAGGAGAAATGTAAAAAATGTGAGAATTCAGGATGCAGTAAGGTTAAAGTTATGTGTAGTGGGCGATTTGAAACAATTTTCAGATAAAGTGATGACTCTCTTTTTTTTCTTTTATCCTGGAATTTTCTGTCAAAAGTTTTAAGAAATTAAAATATTTTGGTGGAAATTCTGAGGAGATTTGAGAAATTGCTCTTAAAGAAAAAACATTAAATCACAGCCAGAGGCTGCTCTGTCCATTTGCACCTCTGTGAGAGAAAACCTGAGCCTTTAGGATGTTTTGAAGTTTCATAGTTAAAAAGTATAGTTTTGGTTTAAATAGGTTTTTAATTTCTCAATGCTGCACTGAGAGAGTTTAACCATGTCAGATTATAATAGTGCAGTATGCTCTTTATTGCCACCTAGTAGTAGATTCCTCTCAGCTTGCTGCGGAGGATTAAAGAACGTTTCGAATCGGAAGCTTACATAAGGCTTTTTGGTCCTCATCAACCAAAATTGCTTGTCCCGGGAACCTGAGCCCCTCTTCCTGTGAAAAATTTTTTCTTTAAATTTGTTTTAATGAAGAATTTTACCTTATTTTCTTAACTTTAATTGAAGTTAATTTCTTGCTACGATTACTTCATAGGTATGATTTTGCATTACCTGTTTCGCATTCACAAGAGGATGCCCCGGAGTCACCAAGATCCGAGACTTCATCTTTAACATCTAACACAGCTGTCTATTCCAACCTGCCAAGTCCAGCTCCAGGAAATGTAGCAGTTGGACAAACCATCCCTACTCCCCCTGCTGTGAATAGGGAATTGAAGCCAGGACGAAAACTTTCCGATAACTCAACAACGTCCAACGAGCCCTCACCATTGCCTCCAAATGTTGACCGCAAGTTGAAACCAGGCACCCTTAAGAAAACGCATGAATCTAGGGATGATACTCGTAAGTAGACTCTTAATTTTTTGTGATAACTAATTATATAATCCATGACTTGAAAAAAATGTCATTTTCTTGCATTCTTTAAGGTTTGTAGAATCTCTTTGTTTTTTTTTTGTAAGTTCCGAAAAATCATTGGTACCTATTTTGAATTTTTTTGGAAAGTCTGAAATTTTTTCTTTTATAAATGTCCTCAAGAAGGCAAGATTTACCTCTTGGAAGCTGCTAGAGCACGATGACAGCTTTTTAAAACAAAACCGAAGAACTCTTAAAGACTTTCGAAATCATTTTCATGAGAAGAATATGATATGGCTTTGAAGCTTGATTTAAGAGAGAAGCGCTGATAGTGTGCACCCTTGAATTGAAATTTTTTGTTATCATTGAACGAAGATCAGTCCGTTCGCACAACTACGCTCTCCATCGTGAATCAGGAGGATTACATTTTGTTGAGAAGAAATTCATGCGCAGCTATCTAAGTAACTCTTCTTGCTTGTGATTATTAGTTTAAGTAAATCTATTGACATCGGTTAATGTATGGACTAATGAAGCATTGCAGGCAATTGTCTAAGAGAGTAATCACCTGTTTGATTTTAGATGTCACTCACCGGACGCTTGTGTTGGCGTCACCTCCTGCTGGTAGCATGGGGAAACGGAAGCCAAGAGCAGCTCCTAGTCCAACTCCTCCAAATCTGCAGCACAATGGCAATAGTCTCAAACATCAGCACAAACACCAGTCTAGCTCAGAGGATGGTGGTGGTTACCGCACCTCACCCGAAGACGATCAAGTATGTAACTTTGAAACCTAATGCGCTTCATTTTCAAAGAAACTCTCCCTTGTTCCTAAATGGCCAAAATCTAATGTTCACAGTGCAGCAATAAAAAATCTGGCTCATGAATGGAAAATCTTAAGTCAGTGAACTCATCTATACATTATCTTTGGTTACATTCCCCAATGTTACTTGATTGGCTTAGGCTTCCTCATGATTGCCAAAAAACATGTAAATCGACTTGTTGGATCTGTAGATATAACTTGGAGAAGGATCAAATGTTCGAGATTGAAAGAGTTTGGAGTAATGGTTTTTCCGTACTTGAACTTCCGTACTATAATAGTGATCCTAAAATAAATTGTCTTCTGCACTCTTGAAGCATTATAATGGATTTATGTCCTCTTGCAAAAAGCAATTCAAGTTTGAAACACCATACTCTGAGGTGAAGCCAGTTTTTCCTTTAGTGATCATAAATCTGACATAAAACTAAGAAGATATCAAATTAAAATATAGATACTAATAAACGTACTAGAATCACTAAAGTACTTATGAAATTTCTGTTTTGTTTCAGACTTACATTTACAGTCAAGATAGTTTGCGTTTTCCTTTGATGAGCAAGAGCTTCACAGGATCAAAGCGATTAGATGAAATTCAGTATCTTGATTTAGATTTGGACTCTACCGAAGCTTCTACCATGAACCCCTCTACTCCACCAGCAGTTTCTGCTCCGTTACCGCGGTCACCGCAAGGTATCACGACTGCCACAGTTTATAAAACAGTCGATTTTCTCAAAACAGAGGCATTTAACCGGACTAGACAGAAAGCTGAGGAAGATAGAAAACAAGGCACATTAACAACAGCGGAGCCCTCTTGACCATAGCTTTGCGTAGAAAAATTAGCCCATGTTTTCTTTGAAAATCTCAAGTCTCGTTATTTTTGCAAATTCAGCATTAATTCTTAGTGAAACTACTTTGAGCACCGGTGCAGTTATCAGTTAAATCACTTTTGCCTTTACTGGTGCTAGTTGTGAGGATCCACATCAAACTACCAAAATGAGTTGTGACGGTTTTGACCATCAGATCGCTGAATCTATGAGTAGTGTCTTTTTGGGGTTGTTGAACCTGGTGACATTCAGGCTGGATCAAATTTAGTACTCTTTTCAAGGATCCAAAGAATTTTAAGTCTTAAATTCCATTCAGCAATTACCACTGTTCGAAGTTACATTGATGGCAGTTCATCAGAAAGTTTCAAAGTTTTCTTGTTGATCTGCCTTCAGTTTCCAAGAATTTCTCTTCCAAAATGTTTTTCTACTCTTCTTTTCAAGTGCCTTATGCTCAATTGTGATTTCTAATCCAATATTTTCAGGGCCTTCAACTGTTGTGATAAGCAAATTTTTTTAAATGTCTCGATCAAACTGCCTTATTTACATGAAAACTGTATGCGTCCGCTAATTGTACACGCCCCCAATCCTTATTACCTTGTGGTTTGAAAAAAGAATTTAATGAAACAAAATCATCCTGATAATCACTATTACTTGTTAGCATGTGGTGAACCTCAGGGACGCTTTAAGTTCTTGGGTGCAAAAATTGGTCCCTATTGCAGCCTCAAAATCTCCTCCCTCACGGAAAATTTTCTCCCTACGAAAAGATTAAAACTACGTGTTGAGCCAAACAATTTAAAAAAGTAATGTTCTCTTCTTCGTTTTCCTCATTTCCTGGTCAAATAAGTTAAGAACAAAAGAAACACATCAACAAAATTCCTCAAGCACTTTTTGGTCAAATTTGATATTGTTAGACTTCCTGTTTCATGAGACTGAAGAGAGGAATCAGTACATCCTATTTTAGTAAAATATTTGCAAAATAATCGAACTCCCAGGATTTTTTTTTTCTTCATTTATTCCAGAATGGAAGCAGGCTCATCCCAGTCAGAAAAATAGTTTAATTTTGGCCAAATTACTAAACCTTTATTTTGCAGCTGTCATTTTCCGTACAGTTATAACATATCACTCAAATGGTGGGTTGCTGGTAATAGTAGCATGATGAAATAATTTCATTTTTTTAGAAATTATCATTCCTTCGATTGTTGATCATCAAAATTTTCATCAGATGACTTCACAAGCTTGATGCGCACTTTATAAATAGAATAGTTGCAATACTCATAAATGACCATTGCAGATTATTGCTTCCAAATACCACCTAAGTAGGTGATCAGCCGTTTTATTTGGGCGCATAATCTAGCTCTGAAAAATGATAACTGCTATCTTGAATTTAATTGCACCCTGTGCCAAAGCGGTCATTAGCTCTTTCATTTGATAATTGTTTTATTGTAAAAGTTGTGTTCCACATCTATCTGACTAGTCAAGATTCTCTATTTCTCTAAAAATCAGTTTGTTGCATGAAGCGTGGAATCTCTGCCCTGAAACATGCAGCAGACATCTAAAGGACTTTTCCTTTGATTTTCCTGATCATTGGGTCGGAGGAGAAGAGAGAGATCATGTGTTGATAGCCAATTTGGATTGTTTTCTGATGTAACCAAATAATATTATTTTGCATACTTAACAAGTATCAACTATCAATATGAAATTCTGTGACTCCTGCAATCGACTCATTACGCTCATACATCAGTTGTACTTACACATTGTAAGTGTGAACTTTTTGAGAACAGACAAGTCATTTCTTACACTTACAGAATCAAGGATTTAAACAATAAACAAACCTACGGACTATGAATTTGGACTTAGGTCTGCTCAAACTTCTTTTTTTATTATTATATCCTGAAATAAAAATTCCTCTCCTTAAATCTCAATTTTTTTTTTCTTAAATCTTGAACTCTTCTCTTGCCTAGAGTCCATGCCACATAAATTGACTCACTTTTACTATGAGACAGAAGATCCGTCATCTTGTATTTACTTTCAATGCCCAACAGGAAACAGCTGATCTTTTGCCCCACTTTAAAAGTGTGTAAACTTATTCGACACGGACTTTACCGGAAACAGTAAAGTGTCTAACTGCAAAATCAGTGTAAGTGCATTACCGGACTTTTGATGTTTCTTCACATCACTTGGTTTGCTAATCTTTGACGTTTAATATTTTGCAACCAAGAGAGTCATATCTTGTATCTAAGATACGGAGAAAAACTTTTGGTAACATCTTGATTGCTTAGAGTGATGGAATTTTAACTTTGTCGTCCCAAAAAATTTTAGACTCCATCTGGATGCATTTGACTTATCAGCCCAGTTTTGGAACACCTCTTTGTCTCATTATTTAACGTTCTGTGATATCTTAACAAGTAATTTATTTTTTTTCTAGCAAATGAAAATCATAGAAATATTTTTATTATTAAATCTTTGTATGTACAAGTGTTAAATTTTATTTTAATTGTGAACTTACTTACTATCTTGTATGCATATGTATAAATTGTACCATCAGCTATTCAGTGCTTTGAAATATTTCTATGTATTTACGTATTTCTTCTCTCTTGGTCGTCTTCTTGTTACTTTATTTTTGTTGTGTGTTATGTAAATCTGTTATTGTATGTGCATAATTAGCTGACTTTGGAGATATTGATAAATATCTGAGAAAGGATGGCTTAGGGGATTTTGGTTCTTACATCGGGGATCAATTTTCGTCTCAGCCCTGAACTACAAAGCTCTTGAGTGTCGTATAGACAATATTTAGAAAAGTTCAGTTATGATACATTTTCCAATTTTGCTAATTCTTTAGTCAACTTGAAATGTTTTATTTACAGACCTTTGTAACAGACATTCAGGCCTCTTCTGAGCCATTGCAAACTCAGAATTAATTAATCGTGGGGTTGAAACCTCACGGCAGCGAAAGAGTACTCAGAGACACCCTCCTACAGAACTGTTTGTGCAGTTATTTTATCAATTCTCTTTCAGTAAAATATTCATAGACGTAAGAGAGTGTCACTCTCCAACTTGCTCAGACCAGTTTTCTCAAAGTTTTTCAATACCACTGTCATGTTAACATATTAACCTCTCTTTTAAATTCAATGTTTTAAGTTTGGATTTTTATTCAACCGTTCTCTCAATGATGCCAATTGAAAAAGAGGAAGGAGTAGTCATACTCTGGAACACAATGGCTTCTTGCTGGCAAGACAGTCTTTTAGGGTTGTTGTCGTTGTTATTTTTTTGCCTTTTTGAGGATTGCAAGTTTGATTTAAACTTACGGTTATGATGCTTTATCAATAATCGGAAAAACATATTTTAAACATGTTCTGAACAATTTTACTTTTAACTTTCTACTTGTTAGTGTACCTCTAATGATTCAAAACCATGTAATACTCTTCATAAATACTCAACCGGGAAACTCAGTAGATATGATTTCACTGGCTGGACGGAGCAGCTCAGCAAAATACTACTTCAAGTTGTGTTAATTATGTTTTGCTATCTTTTTTTCAAGGGCTTTATGATGACTTCTTTTTACCCCCAGGTGACTTGGCCTAGGCTTTCATCATTATTGAATCGGTGATGGAAATATTACACAGATCAAGTAAAAACTTCAGACAAATAATTTATTTTTTTTCTTTAAGGAGATTAATAGCCCTTTGGCATTATTCTATGAATTACACATTATTTTCACCACTATCTAAAAAAATTGGTAGGAATTAAAACAGAATTTGCTTATGATGAGCATCTTGGCATTATCAAAACATTTGAATCCAATATTTAATGTGAAATTTTCCTCTAAGAAGAATCTTATTTTTATTCCTTGCTAATGAAATGTAGACTCATTTGCAAAGGCTGTTGACCATTTTCATTTTTTTGTCTTAGATTCTTACTTTACCCAGATTCACTCACTCAATCAATTTGATTCATCAAATGTTAATTTAACACCACAGCCGACATATTTTTCTCAGTAGCAGCTAGAATTACCGATATAATGATAGTAACGTTTCCAAAGTGAAATTCAGTGTCTTTTGTTTTTTTAATTCGCCAAGAGTGCCGTTTTTCATATTCATTTAAAACTTGAAGAACTTATTGTCTCAGTTCCCCTGACTTCTTCATTTCATTTATCCTAGTCTCTGTTAAAATGCAATATTAATGATTCATATTTGTTCTCAAGTATTCATTAAAGTTACATACATGTCGATGGCAAAAGTGCGAAACCCCATACCTCCGGTTGCAACGTTGGAGACTTTTTGTCATACTTTGTTTTTTCTGTGGAAAACTAGTTAATGTAATTTCTTGGAAACTTTTTTGATTTTTCCTCTATGTCACCAGAATATTTTGTATTAAATGCAAGCTATAAAGTTGCACAAACCGATTGTGGTTGACACATGGGTCGTAAGACAGTATGTCGGAATTTTTTAGCCAACGTGCATTAAAAATCAGCATAAAGTTGAAAAACTCGATACAGAGGGGAAAAAGCTCATATGAGCACAATTGTCCCTCAAAAAGATATGCTGTTTCGTACAACATTAGTTAGGATCTTCATATATATTTTAGGGAAAATTGTGCTCATATGAGCTTTTTCCCTCTGTATTGAGTTTTTCAGCTTTATGCTGATTTTTAACAGACGTTGGCTAAAAAATCCCAACACTCTGTCTGTAAAGATGGGTTGTTTCTGCTTGAAAAAATAAAACATAAGCTAACATTCTGAGACACTGCAATAGAGATACGTCTTTTCACACTTCGGCCATTGATGCACTATTCTCAGCTCTTTTCCAATGAAGCTAAACATCGATTACAGTATTTTAAAATTAATTAATCATTTTAAGTTTATTCTACATATTAATTTTAATATTCAGATTTATAGATTAACTTGATAATGAAATCATCATTCAAACTGGACAATTTCTGATTTCTATTGATTATCTTCTCACCTTATTTTTAATCAATGTGAAGTAATTGTTATTTTTGAACTGGAGATCAACAACAAAGATCGCAAGGTCATTTCATCTCTTCCGTGCCTGCTTACACAATGTTTAATGGTCCCTGGAGCATCAGGTTTCCAGGATGTCTCAAATCGAACTTGTAAGACACAAGTAGAATTATACTGCCGAAATAAAGTCTTTGATCGGGCCTTCTCCTATGTAAAGGAGAAAAGTGCAAGCAAGCAGTTCCGCCAATTTTGACCACATGATTACTTACATCAATTCCAATAATTTTCTTGGGTTTTTTATTGTTGATAGAGGTCAATGAACTTTTGATAAGTATCTATGTAAGTGATGTTGGCTCACTCCTCATAAAATGGCAGTCATCTTAATTTTAGGTTTCAGTTTCATCTAATGAATCCCTAAACAGCTTGATCATTGTGAATCATTTGTGATCTTGTAGCGAAGCCATAGTTTTATTGTTTCATTTTCCATTATTCCTTTACTTCATTGTTTCTGTATCTATGTATGTAATTATTTTTCATTAAAATTTTGTATAAATGATAGCCAGTTGTATTTCATTCTGCTGTAAACTCATAACCTATGTTTTAAGAAACTATACTGCCCCTAAGTAAAGTTCAACCAAAAGTTTTCTGAAGTAGATGAACCGTAAAGGTTTTTTTTTTCAGTTTTTGAAGCTTTTCTTCAAAGGATTCAGACAGGATCACTAAAGTTCAAGGTGAATCCAAGGTAAATAGTTCCTTGTACCTGGCACTGGCAGGAATATAATGGCAATGCTTGAAAATGTCCTCTTTATCTTTATTTTTTCAATGCTAACTTCCTACATTTAGATGAAATTTTCAGAAGAAATTCTGGAAAGAGCAGAAGAATCTTACTAAAGTCTAAGAAATAATTGCATCAGTCATTCTTCAGAAGCATGGGGTTAAAATCTACAGAAATTCGATCTTCTACATTTTGAGTGGAGCCTCAGAAAAATGATAGTCTACTAGAAATTTTTAGACGAAATTTTCAGAGGAAATTCTGGAAAGAGCATAGGAATCTTACTAAATTCTGAGCATTAATTGTATCAGTCATTCTTCAAAAGCATAGGGTTAAAATCTGCAGAAATTCGATTTACTACATTTTGAGTGGAACCTCAGAAAAATGATGTTTCTAGATGTCTAGTCAGGTCAAGTATCTGCAAATCAAGGTATTTACTGTAATACAAAGGGTGTCCCAAAAGTAAGTAGACTGATGCTGCCATTTCAAAACTAAGCTACCTAGCAACTTGATCTTGGTCTCATTTGAAAGACCTAATCCTCTTCTATTGATTGAAACCAAGATCAACTCATTTGAATAAAAATTCAACAAGTTATGACACTATGTAAGGGGTGTACGTGCGCCGCCTACGAGTTTTTCATTCGACAAGAAAAGTCTGCGTGTAAGGTCATGCTTGTTGCTTTTTTTGAGTTTCAGGGCATTATTTACTAGCACTTTGTGACAGAAAACACGACAGTTGACAGCGAGTACTATTGCAATGTTTTGGCGGAATTGCGGATGCACATTTCCTGGAAAAGGCCCCATTTGAAAAATTTGTGGATTCCCCATCAGGATAATGCGAGAGCGCACACATTCAATTTTACCCATGAATGTTTGGAAAGCAAAGGTATTAGACTTCTAAGACATCTGTCATACAACCCAGATCTTGCTCCCTGCGATTTCTGGCTATTCCCTACTCTTAAGAAGGAGCTTCGCCGTCAAAGATTCAGGACCAAGGATTGAAATCAAGACGGCTGTCCAAAAAACCTTCAAAAAAATTCCCCAGGAAGAATTTGAGAAGACTATGCTCGTGAAATGGGAGGAAAGGATACACAAGTGTATAAACGACAACGGAAAATACTTTAAGAAGCAACCTGATAATCTAGTTGAGTCTGACGATAGCAGATAGAATAAATTTTTGTTAAAAACATGTAGGCAGCGCTCGTACACCCCTTACATATAATGTCATAACTTGTTCAATTTTTATTCAAATGAGCTGAGCTTGGTCTCAATCAATAGAAGAGGATTAGGTCTTTCAAATGAGACCAAGATCAAGTTTCTAGGTAGCTTAGTTTTGAAATGGAAGCATCAGTCTACCTTCTTTTGGGACACCCTTTGTAAAAGTCACAATCACATCAGCCTGGCTGTTTTTTTCAACTGCAACACCTGATCTACCATCTTATTCAATGCATTCAGTTTCCATGCATGACTTAAATAGTACCATCTATACACTTCGGAATTTGACAAAGTTACCTATTTGATTACATGGTATACCTTAATATTTATACCTTCATCGAGTAAACAGAGAAGAGAAGAAAAGAAAAGGGGGAAAAAAGAATTGAATTTAATACTGCTCTTTATTTACCGGCTGACTAGCTTATGACATGGGGGAAAAAATACATAGGAAATCAAATAAAACAAGTAGAAAAACGTATGTTGTCCTTGAACTAAACATATTCTTACTCTCGAAGCTTTGACAATTACTGCAACTTGTACGTGGCCATCCACAGGAATAGGTAAAACTTAAAACTCCAAATTGATGATAAATACTGCTGCTTCGTGGGGTGGTTAGCAGAACTTTTGGCGCACTAAAAACTCTAAAATGTCAAAACAAATAGAAGCTGAGCCGATTTAAGTTTACAGTCCAAAAACTGTAGATAAAAAAAGTTACCTACTTAAAATTTTAACTTGCCATGCTCAAGTCTCGAATTTTTTGACCCACTTCAACAAAAATAATTATTACAACAGCATTATTGTTGCATTTTGCCACAATTTTTTCAGTTGCTTCATTTAATATATAATCTGTGGTTCAGTGGCGTGGCAAGCTTTGAGATGAAACGTTTGATCTACTACTTGAACCTATGAAAAAGGATCGATTAGGGATCAGGGTATACCTTCATAAACTATTCTTCACCACAGCTTCAAATGGGAAAATATCGATAGTTGATTCACGCCTCGTCACTGATGTGGCTAGATGAATAGATGCCGACAAAAATCACTCCTACAAAAAAACTTATACTGCTTCAATTAAGCCTCTTTTCGTGTGGATGATCACATTTAGTTTACAATTGAACTAAACACCAGGTTATTTTAACTAGAAAGAAAGGATAAACAATCAAAATAAAAAATTGCAATAGATAATCACCTTTATAACTGTACGAAATTACTTTTTAAGTTGCTTTGGGATAAGACCAGGAACAACTTGATCAAATTATTATCACAGATAATACCCATTAAATAAGCTCAGAGTTTTGTTATGCGCTGGAACATTTTACACATAAGTATAGAATTGCATGGGAAGAAAAAGGATTAATTTTACTTGCACTTCATAATATTTCAACTGTCACAATTATTAGAGATTGTTTTCTTCTCCTGATTAGCAGGTTAAGAGACAATATTTTTTTATTTAGCTGTTCCGTTGAATAGTTGAAACGCTCGATAAGAACTTAACATGTTAACTACGGCACCAAATGCTGGAACCTGAGAGCTTCTTTAATATTGGGGCTGTATTAGTGCCGGCACCTGAAAGATGAATATTGAACTGTAAAATAATAATTATTTCCGTTCATAAATTAAGATCTCTAACTCAAGAACATTCTCAGAAAAATACCTTCTGTTCTAGTTTAACAGTCTTATTATTTCTGCCTCCACTTTCAACATAAGTAGGGCCTGTTTCAGCCCATTTAGGCTGTTGGCGCAGAATAGGGAATCGCCTATTCTGCGCATACAGCAAGAAAGAACAAGTTATCTGAAATAGACCCTGGATAGAATCGTCATTTGGGGACATGTCAGGGGTCGACGCCTGAAGGTACCCCTATTCTACGGTTAAAAAAGCGGTTAAGAGCACCTTCGTTGCTAACATTTTAAAGCAATCTGTTTCCTTGGAGTCTTAAGACTGCCATCTTCCAGAGAAAAATTGAATCATACAATTCTATAGAAGAATAATTATGGAGAAGATTTCATTTCTAACTATCATTAAAAATTGAGACTACCACCACATTTATTTAGAGTTGAATACAGTGGACACACAAACTTATGTGTATGCCAATTGAAATTAGGGTGGACAAAATATTTCATGTTTTTCTGCAGAAAGATATTTAAATTAGCATGGTGGTAGCTTCAAGAGTTTTATGATTTTCCAATTTTTAGATTTCTTATCATAGTCAATCTAGTACATACAACACAAGTTAGTAGATCTACAAAGTCTGTCCCAAAAAACTAAGAGTTGACCCGCTTTAGGCAAACTATTAATGATAAAGAAATACCGTTTGCAAAATCTTGTAGCTTATTTAATTAACATTCACACGAGCCTTTGTGAAGCTCATTTGGTGAAAAATTCGCATTTTCGCAGAGATTCTCTGCCGACGTTTAAAACCCTCTGGAATTTTCGAGTCATTTTTCACTTTCCACCTCCAATCAGTAAGGACAAATCAACTCTGAAAATAAAGTTTGCAACCTTCTAGAATCAAGCTACGACGAATCTACAACAGTTCTCATGAAAGAAAGTCAAAGTTTGTGGAGTCAAAAGCTCAGCCTCTCCGAGATAGGCTTTCACATTGACGCCAAATATTGTTTTTTCCATGAAAAAATTCGAACAGCAGTAGGTATTACTGTTTCACCCTCAACCTCATGAGCCATGAAGACAGGTACCTCTGAAATGTTGAGAGGGATGACAGTTTCTGAGTGGATAAAATTAATTTAGTAGTGGGAGCAAAATTTCCAGGTGATCCAAAGACTTTGACGAGGCTTCAAAAGTCAGCTTATCAGTGTCTTAGAGCTTGAAACATCTGGCTTGGCCGTCAACTTCTTGACACTTTTGAATTTGCTGAGCTTCTAATGGAGAATAATGTTCAGATTTCATGAGGACAGTTGTAGATTAGTCGTACCTTGCTTCCAAAAGGTTGCAAACTTGATTTCCAGTGTTCACTTGTCCTTACAGGGTGGAGTTGGAGAGTGAATAACAACTCGAAAATTCTGGAGGATTTTATTCTTACGTATCTCCAAAAAATCACCGTAAAAATGCGATTTTTAACCAAATGAGCTCAACAAGGGCTCGTTAGAAGCTAATAAAATAAGCTAAAAGATTCTGTAAACTGTACTTCAATATCTTAAATATCTTAAATAGTTTGTTGAGAGCCGGTCAACTCTCAGTTTTTTGGGACAGTCTTTGTACCTCTCTCTCCTTTGCCTCAATTTTTAAATAATTGACAACTCATTATTTGACCTTACACGAAATATGAAATAAGAGCTACATACTATAAAATAATTAGAAACTGACAAACTTAACAATATCATATAAAATTAGGACAATACTATCGTTGTTAGACAATAATTTACTTAATAATTTTCTTTCCACATAGGAACATGTGTGTTTTTACACTAAAAAAATAAAAAAAGGGTAAAAGATTCCCTAGTGATAAAAACAGCAAATCCAACGGAAAGGGTTTTCTTTTTTCTAGCCTTTGATCAAAGCAATTCTAATTCCTCTCCTCTATTGAGATTTGCCTCACAGAAAAATATGCATTAGGCCCACTTCTCAACCTTTGTCATTAGTGAGTGATTTTGGTTTGTAAAGTATTAGCATGAAAAATGCAGCATTTCTAGATATTTCTACACACACTATACTTTCCATCATCTTGTAGGACAAGGTGAAATCAGAGTGGCTAGATAACCACTGGTTTTGTAAAATATTACAATTTTTCCTGGTCAACAATATGATGTTCAAAAACCTCATAAAAAAAAAATGCATTTCTACTACATTACATATATAAAAAAATAAAACCCTCCAACAGAGGAGGGCAGAGGGATTTCAAAGGTACAATATGGTACAAATTAAAATTGGCTGTAAGCAAATATTCAAGCACTATTTAAGTACCAACCAAAAAATTATGCACTGATGAGGCTTTGAAAAAAAAAAAAAAGAAAGTTGAAAATTAAGCACTGTTTCAGAGCTTTCCATGGCGCCAGGAATTGTGCTGTAAAGAGTTTTAGGAACACAATATTGCTATTTGATGAACAAGGGGAGGTCCCACAGTACCCCCCTCAGTTTTTGATCAGAGCTTGGTCATAGATTCTTTCAAACAAGACTATTGGATCGTTTCAGTGAATATGACCGGTCGGTGAAAATGAATTTTTTCCCCAAAATTGGCAAAGAGAATCGCCGGCGGAAGTGGCAAAATGCCGTTTCTTGTATTTTAGCGCAGCAATAGAGGAATGACCTGAGGCATTGCGCTCTGGCTCCAAGGTCTATAATTTAATTCCTGGCTTTGTAAAAAAATTCTTATTTGTTGCTAGAATTGTTTTGTATTGATTTTTTCTTACGAAACAGACAAATACATATGTAGCTGGAAGAAATTAAGAAAAAATCCAAACAAAATAATTACAGAAACGAATAAAAATGGAGCACTAATAAGTAGGGAGTGTTATTTTACAAATTTAGCACATTTGACCCTCTTTGTCCATTTTTTTTTTAAAAAAAAAAAGGTTTTAGAACTTTCCATACCCATTTGAAAAAACGACAAATACGGTTTTCATAGATCTTTACGAAGAAGTTTTTGGCCATACTCCAATCAAAATCTACATGGAATACTACCTGAATTTCTCTTGTAAATTAAATTTTAATTGCTGTGAATTGAATTATTTACTCATTTCCATGGGAAAATTAAAAATCAGAAGATACAGGAACGGTAGGTTTTGAATGCTTACAAATGCTTGATACTCTGGTAATTACATTTAATTCAAAATAAACTTTAAAATTCGATTGGACTGTCTTGCTTTCCAAACAAGTACCTCTGTTACCTCTGAATTTAAAACTGGAAATGTTAGAGGCTAAGACATTCTGGAACCTAGGAAAAAGATTTGACATTACGCTGACATTGTGGGTCTAACTCCTTCAACAAAAATATACTATTCTCTGCAAACAACTATTGAAGATTATAATTTTTTGTCTGAACCTTCACAATAATGCACTTCAGCCTGTTGGTTACGTTAACTTATATACAGATGCTTCCCAAGACATTAAAGTCTCCTGTTCTACTAAGGACCAGACATAAGGAATGAAAAATTCTTCAGGTTTGTCATCTTCAACATACTTGAACTTCAAATCTGGAAACTTATCGATGAGCTCACGCGGCCACTGCACTGCCCAGAACTGAACTTTGGCCAGAACCTCATCGACATCTATACTCTCTTCGCTGCTCAATTTATTTGTGAAATAATTGATTACCAGATCGATATTTTTCACAACATCAGAAAATGCCTCATGACCTCTAAATGGCTCAAAAATTTCCTTCTTATAGAGTAAAGTATAAACTAAATTTGTATTTTGTACAAGCTGATGTGCCAAACATGAGTTTATCACTTCCAAAACAATACGAAGTGCTTCTTCCAGAGCAGTGGAGTCGCCATTACCTCGAGAATATGTCTTGGCTAGAATTTCGAAAAGACCCAAGATTCTTTGACATACATATGGATGGAGGTTCGTGAACTGGGCAGACATGTTGGCTAGAGCAGCTAAACAATTGGTGTGAAGGTATTTGTCTCGAGTGCGAAGAAGATTATACTGCACTGTCCGTGTTGTCACAAGGATAATAAGGCCTCCTAAAGAAATCTGAAACAAAAGTCATTTCAGTTACTGTTGGAGCCGAGGCTCCAAAGAAAAAGAAAAAGAAGTGATATGATGCAGAGAAAATGAGGAAAGATGAAATCGCAAGAAGACACAGAAAATTGCATAATGGAACTCAGCGCTGAGAGACTAGATGGCAAATTGAGCCTACCTTAAAACGGAATGCATTGAAAGGGGCTGCAAGCGGGCTGGCGAGGGACGAGCAGGTCCAAAAGGGCTGGAAGCTGGTCACATGCTGAAAGGCTGGATATTCACCCGAGAATTGCGGCGTTTAGAACATTATTATTAAGATAGCCATGCTCGCATGAACTATCCTGATATGATACCTATATGATTTACGGCGTTAAGCACTTTAACAGTCAGAAAGCGGCGGTAAGCAAATAAATAAATATAGGAGAAAAGAAAAGAGCGTACAGCGGAAATACGTAGCACTTACATACGGCAAGCAAAAGACGAGAAAAACAGAGAACGCGACTGATTCACGAAAACTCGGTGGTTACCCAATCAGTACTGAATTCAGTGCTGAAAATCGCTAGCCGCGGGTCTAGCCGCGGTTCGAGGTAGGCGCGGCGCGAAGGGGGGAAAGGAGACGCGGCGGTGATAACAAGGATTAGGTACAGCGGTATTAGGTGCCGCGACCTACCGGTGTCCGGTGGGAACAGTTACGAAGGGTAAAAATGAAAAATTAGGAGCTACAAGTCTCCTTAAAACTTGTGGCCGTCCGTGGAGAAAGGACATGAGTGCCAAAATACTTTAAATTGCATAATCGGTACCAATTCAAAAGAGTTTTTCACAATTTTTTGGCATGAAAATCCCCAAAAATGTTCAACTGAACTTATAATGTAATTTTTACTAAATAGACGCAGAATTGAGGAAAATTGATTTAAATTCAATCCGCCATGTTAAGGGATTCAAATTGTGGGATTGCAGTGTAACTTTATACCTATTATTGGCATAGTAGTTGATATAATATTTGGCATCAGCCACAAAGAACTGAAGATAAATAATGAGAGGAAGAACTCCTGATGTACTGATCATTTCTTCTTGATATATAAATGCCCCTCAGACAAAAAAATGCAATCTCTCATGCAACTCCTTCCCTTCCTGGAGGCACAATAGATGCTGCAATGAGCCCAACAGCATCACCTGAAAAAGTTTTATCCGGGTAACTTAAGAACAGTTCTTTCATTAAAATAAAGCTGCCGCAGAAAGTCTAATAACTCACCTCAGGAAGGACTCTTTCTGAGTACCAGGGTACACTTTTGATGAACGTATTATGGACCGTCTTATTGAATAGGGGATCCTCAGTCAGGATCAGTAGAATGATGAGGGACATGTAGATATGGTGACACTTTTTTTCCACATTATTGTTATTGTAGACTACTTTTAAAAGCGGTATAACCTGAAATTTCAAAATAACTTTTAAGACCTAATGAAGGGAAAAACAACAATCTCATTTTTAGAATAATGTAGCCAAACTAAGCTATTTTAACTAACTAAGATGTAATGTGTACAAAATCATTAAGAATTTTGTGTTACTTTGTATACTTTCTGTAAGATTCTAACTAACAAGGGCAATTTTTTCAGTTGTCAACCTTGAGTGACTCCCTTACATTCTACAACAACAATTTTTTGTAGAGCTGACTTTCTCTAAGGAGCATTAAATATTCAAAAGGTAAAAATAGTGTAAAATCAACTGAAGTGGAAAATTGAGAGGTTTGATTCTACAGTTAAAGTATTGCAAAAGGTAATCTTGCACAGTACTTAACAGCTTTGAAATAATGTTTTGAAAATATTTCTGTGTATTTGATTTGACCTATACTCAAGGTTTTGGACGTGACATCTGGGGCTTGACCAAGCAGTATGATATCTGAAATTGGAGAATGGAAGCTGGACGCAGGTTTTGCCCCACTTCTCAAATTTCATGCTTTCTTTCCAAACTTTTGGTGATAAGATTCTGTTGCTAAGCGACGTTTGAATGGGTATGGCACTTAGCAAATGAATCATAATTATCCGAGAATTAAAAGAGCTGAAGTGGCTGTGGAGTTAAATGAAGCCTTAGATTGTTTTCACAAGAACTCCAGGAAACTCCTTTTCAAGCTCGCACCGTCCTGATTGCATACGGTAACATACATTACCAGCTTATTTTTCATTACTCTCGATGTAGATACATCTTGTTTCCTTAATAGTAATCAATGGGCAATGGAATGGAAAAGGTATGGATGGAATGGATTCAATGGAAAAGGTCTGAATTAGAAGAAAACTTCACATGTGTCCTCTTGAAAATCTTAGATAAAAAACAATTCTAACAATGGAACATTCGAAAACCAACATCTGAACGAGATATTAACAGGTATTTCTAACACAGATCAAATGGAAGTTAGATGGTACAGATTACGTTATTTTGTATTTGTACTAGGTGTCATTTAACCAATGTTGATTTTCAACACCGATATCTTGTATAGGGCTTGATTTCCAGACTTCCAGTTGCTTCTTGTGTGGTTCGTTTCCCTCATGAAATTTTGAAGAGGAGACATGTTATGTAGTGCTTTAACTTAAACCTTGTTTAGTGGCCTACTGTCGCAAATGCTGAAATTTGTTAATGATTTAACGTTGTATCGGTACATTGAGCTAAACTGCTTTTTAACTTAACAAGTGTAACTGACACATAAACTTCAACTCACTTTGCCTGTTACGCTACTCTATACAAACCATTGGTCAATCATCATGAAGGACTTTCTTCGGTATTACTGCAAGTGATTTTCTAGTTGTTCAAAATGAAAAGAAAAAGTAGCTATTCTTTCCTCTCTTCCTAGATACTCATAATGCACAGATATCCATTTTTGAATTGTTCCACCTCCAACAAAGGAGGAAATTCACCTAACAAAGAGACTGAGAGACTCACCAAATTTTCAATGTCAGTCTGTGCTAGCAGGAACGTTTTGAAATTCTGGTTGACATGGAGCAGATGATAGAGAAGAAGAGTGTTTTCTTCCCGGTGTATAGTGCTACACAATGATTTGTATACAGCCGCCAAATCTCGGTCATAACTACTCAGAGCTTGACGGTAGGGGTTATTAGGGCCTGCACAGTGGTTGACCAGGATGAGAAGAATAATGACAGAATGCGTTGTTAGGTGGGCCTCTATTTCATTGTAATTACTAGATTTCCAGAGCAAACTCCAAAGGTCCGCTGAAAAATAGAAGATTGAGATTGTCAAACCTTGTTCCTTTTTGAGGGATGACTCAACAGAGTTTGACATTTTTCTGCATCATTCTTTGGCTGATTTTGATGTTGCTTTTTGTTGACTTTGATGATATTTTTGCAGTGCTTTTTACAACATAAATCCGAATTTTCTACTGATTTTTATGATATTTTGTTGACCTGTTAGCATCATAAAACATTAAATGAAAATCTAACTATTCATTTGTAGTTCGATTACATATAGTTACGTAGCCAAGTAGGCATAAACCACAACAAAACGGAATTTTTTATTTAAAAAAACACGAAAATACAGCGTTGTAATGGTTTTGAGTAAATTTTCTAAATTTCTTGGATTTCTTAACTGCGTAGGATAATGTTACGCATGTTGCAGCAAATTTTGCTGATTCAAACCGATTTCTTGAGTAGAAAAAAAATACTTGATTTCGTGTAAATTCTCTTTGTATCTATACAGTTAGTAGGTCATGATCAGTGCTCCTCTCTTATTTTCAATTTAAGCGGACAGTTTTAAAATTTCGGGAAAACCGCGGATCGTGATTGCATCATAACTCTACTGATGAATATTATTTGATTATGTGATTTTTCTTTGCTGTTTCAAGAGAATTCTTAGGAAATTCCACACTGGAGGTTTTGGTAACTCTCTCAAATAAAATAAACTAGGCACAGACATTTGAAACATCAAGATCAAGATACATGTTACAAAAGATATTTTAGGAGATACATTTAATTTTACTTGCAAACCTAAACTTACATGCAAGACCGATCAGGATGCTACTGTTAGAGTTAGAGGGAGGACAAGTTTGATGCACAATACGATCCACCAAGGAGAATGTCAAGGCTTTGGCATGTTCATTCTCCATCATTATCCTGGAAAAACAAGAAGAAAAATTGCATGAGACATTTAAGGAAATACTGAGGATATTAGTGTAGAAAAGATATGCAATGTATCCTGCTCCAACTATATAATGTAGGTGCTCGTTGCTATCAGAAAAAAACAAGGTCTCTATTTTCAGAGGTGCAAAAAATGTTTCATACTGCAATCAGCCAAGCACAACAAACTCTTAACCTCATAATGGAGGCCTTGAAAACCAAAGAGATTTTAAGTGTCAAAAGTGGGACAAATCACTGATTTTTCTCATGAAGCAGAGACACCAGAGTGCAAGGAACAGTTGGAGTTAGAACTTTTTGCACCCCTGTCTGCCTTTCCTCTCCTTGCTGGACCCTCTTAAGTAAAATGCTCAGTCGATTCTCTTCTACTTTGTTTTGGAAGCCACCCATCTTAGGATACTGAGTGAAGAAACCTGACTGACTCGATGATTAAAAGGTACGAGGGATACACAAAACTCGTTTTAGCTCTAAAAAAAATGTAAAAGATTTAGAAATTAGAAATAATGAAATAAAAAATAATATAATACAATTTGAAATTATAAACATAAACACACATAAGTAAATGAAAAAATGAGAAAAACTCTATGGACTCCTTTCGGGGATTCTTGTCCTCATCTTTAAGGCCGATTTCCAGACAATAAGATTTCTTGGAACACAATGACTTCTCTTCGCCTAATTAAGTGAGTTTGAATTTATTTTTTCAAATTTTATCTTACACTTGATGTGAATTTCAGTTTCATCACCTTGACTTTTTCAATCTTTCAGTTTCAAATTATTAAAATTTAGGCTTTTTATGAAAATTGCTGATAGTAACAAAAAGATAATCTGATCATATGATCATAGAAATTCCTGAAACAATCCAACATTTAGGTCTATTAATCACTCAGTTTTTCCTAAGGAGCCAGAAAGTAATGTGAATTATCTATTCTAAAAAAGGAGCAAGACATAAGTGAGAGAGTAAAAAGGAATATCTTGGAATGTTAATCAGTTTAGTCCACAGGAAACAAATTGAACTTCAAGAATTTTCTTTTGTGACACCCACTAATTGAAAGCAGCAAGAGCAAAATTTTTTATGCATCATCCTTATGATGCGAGGTGGCAAGAAAGATATTGGTGTAACTGAGCACAAAAAACGCACACATTCTCCCCCATCAAACACAGATAAGAACAACTTTTACAGATTTATCGCCAATTTTTCTTCCTTTCAGAAGAGTTTTTCTACATAATTTAAAATGACAAATCTCAATTAATTATACACCTCAAGATTTGACCATTTGTCAAATAACTGTACAAATTTGCTTACTGCTCACCAAACATGCTGCGTAAGTCGCAAAGAAAGAAAAACATTTTTAAGATAGAAAAAAAGAAGCTCCTGGATACTCGACCAGCTGGTCACTGTTTTATAATGGCATCAGAGATGACTTATAATTAGATACTCTCTAGGGTAAAACAGGGTTGCCACAGGATTTAGAAGATTAAATTCTTGGAAATTTCCCTAATAAATCTTCGTGAAAATCCCTGGCATTTGATAATAAACAGAACCATTAAAAAGAGATAAAAATCGCCACTTCCAAATCCGAGCATGCGTCATTTGTTTTTTGAAACGTCAAAAACATTCCTAAAAGCATATGAAGGTAATTTAACTATTTTTCCCTCACAATTTCATTATTTTCCAAGATATTCCTGACTTATTTTCCTGACATTTCCCAGTTTTCTCTGATTGTGGCCACCCAGGTGAAAAACATCCTCAAGAATGGTTCTCAATCAAAATAATATTAACAGGAAAAACAAGTCGATTGCAGGAATTGATATTGATAAAACTTACCTGTAAACCTCAAGCTGATTTGCAGGTGTGGTTGTGAACATCTGAGTTGACAGTAAGGTCAGAAGATTATTTGTTGTCTCAAAATGAATATTGTAAGTTGTCTCACTGAAAAACCATCAATATAATAAATTCCATGAGTAGATTCTCAGTTCTCTAAAATGCACTACTAGGCAGGCTCTAAACTGAGAAATTATATCGAAATAACTCTAAAAATGTGGCCCAAATACTGTAAGTGACAAGATGGAAGAACAGTTGCTGGGTTCATACTATTATGCAGTTTTGCAAGCGTCAGACTTGCAACAAAACTCATGGAAGCCCATTTTTGGACACTGATCATAATTTTTGGATTTTTCGGGCTTCGATTTACTTCAAGAATTTTCAGGTATGGTGTTGTTTTATCACAATTTAACTCAGCAAATGGTTGGTGCAATAAATATTGTAAAATGTAACTGAAAACTATAAATACCTATCTCTTACGTGCGATAAAATTTTTACTTAGTTCTGCTCTTGAGGAAAAAAAACAAATCTGAAAAAATCTAATGGGCCATTGAGCACAGATTTATACTTTCGGCGAACAACCTATCACATTTACCAAGACTCTTCTAGCATCTCCTGGTGACATTATAATGGATTGTGATTAGTGATTGATAAAATTGTGATGAAACAAATGGTGTGAAAGAGAAGGAAAATCTCATTGGTTGTAAATTGCTCCAAAATTTGTTTAGTTGTACAGTTTGATTTGAGTAGATTTTAATCTTTTGATGAGCGTGAAGTTCAAAGAGGGTTATTAAAAATCGGCGATTTTGCCCCCCTCATGGATTTAGCCCGGAGTTGGATATGTTGTTCCCTATTACAAAACACTCCTTTTTCCGGCATTGGCAAGTTCATTCAAAATTTTTCCCGTGTGCAACAGCGTTGCCAAGTTGAAAACGTGAAAATTTCGTAAGTGGCATTAAATTTGAGCTATGAAGTCGCCGTTTGCATGAAAATTTTCTGAAAAATGCGCAATTTAAAGATATCTCAATGATTTTAATGTTGTATCAATTGTAACATGCATTGTTACCAGTTTTTACAAATCCGCAATTATCAAAAAAGAACTCTATTTTGATTTGAATAAAAAGTTGTCTAATCGATAGTTTGTTTGATTCCTCATCCATCGATGTATTATACCTCCAATGGAAATTTGTTTGTTCACAAGATATCATCATTTTTGTAAACAGGTTTATGGAGAAACGACGCTTGTTGAGTCCAAGCAGAGAGAAATTTTAGCCTCCACAAACACCGGGTAGCATTAATTCCATGGGTTTCTTTGTAATTTTTAGTGCTGAATCCGCATTTTAACATTTCCTAAAAAAAATTTTCAGAAAATTTTCATCCAAACCACGACTTTATAGCTCAATTTCAATGCCACTTACGAAATTTTCACGTTTCCAACTTGGCAATGCTGTAGCGCGCGGGAAAAATTTTGAGTGAACTTCCAATGCCAGAAAAAGGCGAGTCTTGTAATAGGGAACAACATATCCAACTCAAGGCTAAATCCATGAGGGGGGCAACATCGCCGATTTTGAATAACTCTCGTTATGGACACAAAAAAGTTGAAATTTTCAGAATTAGCAAGCTAGTTAACCCCTCAAAATAAAAATTCTTTTGAAATGAATCAAATTGAAAAAAACAGAAATGCTAATCTATACTCTGTCGTCTTTGTGCTTTAAAATAAATTAAAATAAACTTCATTCTAAAGATAAGCATACTTAAAACCAAAAAAAACTAAGCGAATTAGAAAGTTCTCTCAATAGGTACATACAGGATGGCCAAGATCTACCGTACCAGGCCTTCTTTCGGTTAATTTGGGTTGCACAAGGTCCAGGATCGAGGGGATGAATAGGGAATTGACCCCAAAGAATCCGAATTTCATGGTCCCAAAGCCCCCCTGGCGCCCCTTGGGAGGTAAAAGGGGGGTCTGTACTTCAAAAGTCAGGGTTACTGTCAAAATTTTGAAATTATTTCATCAGAATCAGAACATACGGAAATTTTTAACTTGGATTGACACCAAGAAATCCAAAATTGGCCCATCTGGGTCCGAAATACCGACCTCTAAAGGTGGGGGACAGAGCCCCCTTTCAAAAAAAATCAAGTTCGTTAAATTGACGTGGAGACTCGGAAAAAATGTGTATTCATGGGTAATCAACCCCAAGGAATCCAAATTTGAGGGTCCCATTGTCCTCAGACACTTTTCTGATGGGGCACAGGGGGTCTCTGAACTTTTAAATACAACCGGTGTGGAGGTTACCAACAGTGTGCCCCAACAGTAAAGTCTCTGAGGACAATGGGACCCTCAAATTTGGATTCCTTGGGGTCAATTACCCATGAATACACATTTTTTTCGAGTCTCCACGTCAAATCAACGAACTTGTTTTTTTTTGAAAGGGGGCTCTGTCCCCCACCTTTAGAGGTCGGTATTTTGGACCCGGATGGGCCAATTTTGGATTTCTTGGTGTCGATTCAAGTTAAAAATTTCCGTACGTTCTGATTCCGATGAAATAATTTCAAAATTTTGACATTAACCCTGACTTTTGAAGTGCGGATCCTCCTTTTACCCCCCAAGGGCCGCCAGGGGGGCTCTGGGACCATGAAATTTGGATTCCTTGGGGTCGATTCCGTAGTCATCTCCGCGATCCTGGACTTCGTGCAACCCAAATTAACCGAAAAAAAGGCCTGGTACGGTAGGTCTGGGCCACCCTGTATATTTAAAAAAAAGAGTAATTTAATTGACGAGCCTCATCTTTTGCATGATGGCTAGCTCTCTTAAATTAAATTGATTTCAGATACTCACGTCAAAGGCAACTGATAGACAAGGTTCACTAATTTTGACACAAATCTTTCTAGCAAAGGTTTCGTGTCCTCCTTTCTCATTTCACCCTCTAATTTGTCTTGTGGTGTTGCTGAAAATAAAACAGAATCATTAAAATTATAGACATGAAATTCTTACTGCCTATAACCATGAACACAAAACTGATTAAGTGCTACGCCTGTCTCTAAACCTGCTACAATGGTAATGATAAGAACTGTGATACTAACCAGCTTGCACATGATATTTTACAGCTTGCTTAAAACAAAAACATGCAAAAGAGTAAAAATCACAGTAAACCGCCAGTGAAACTCCCAATCAACGTATCTCATTTGCAATTTTTTTAGTTTTCCGCTACCATTTTTTGGCAGAGAACAAATCAACATCAGTTTTTTAAGCCTTCACATAATTTTCTTCACAAGGAGATGTAAAATCACAAAATTTTTTAAAAATTGATGTTGAGTAGTTTTTCTTTAAAAAAATAAAGTATTATAGAAGTCTACAACGTTACAGACTGAGATACTTGATTTGGGAGTTTTACAGTCGAAATGTGATTTCACTTTGCCTTTTCAAGAGAATTCTCCAAAAATGTCTTGAAAAACATCCAGATATCTGTTCAAGGTTTAAATACTTTTGCAAGTTTTCAATTCCCTGGTTTTTCTTTGACTTCTCTATGATTTTTCCCTGATATAGAACTCATCATAAACAGATTAATGATCACTAGTACCCAGAAATTATAGATTGGTTTCGCTGGAAAATAATAAGATAGTAGAGATCAGTGGCGGCAAGAGAGCAATAAATTATGAAAAGAATTGATCCAAATGGTTGGGCGCTGGTTCAAATACACACCAACATCTGATTTTTTTTATTACCTGACTGTAATTGGCATGTTAAATTGTACGCTTCATACCCAACAGGGTATAAGAGTTTAGCTCAGTTTCCTTGCTAAGTTCCCTGATATTACCTTAAATTCACTGAATTCTTCATTTCTTAATTAAATTTACTTTCAATTCCCTGATTTTCTAAGTTTACCTGATGAATATAAGGTATAAACCTGATCTAGTAGAATGTCTTTTGAAAGGATAAAATAGAACAAAAATTTTGAAACACAGGAAACAGGATACAGGATATTTTGTTACACCATTCTTTTGTACCCTTAAATGAACAGTATCATAAACTAGGGGGCTACGCCCCCTGGCCGCTACGCGGCCCAACCCCCTGAAGGCCCTCCGCGCCATCAATGGGCCGCTTCGCGGCCCTATTTTTACCCTCCTATTAGTGTTAGTTTCATTTTTCCCGTAAAAAATTACGATATGAGGTATACTTTAATTTTAAACTTTACTTAAAATTACTTTAAAATTAAAAGGACGCGTTTTGGAATGACTATGCTTGATGAAATATTGCAGTAAAACAATGAACAGTGATGGTCAGGTAATAACTAAGAATCTATGAGTCGGGGATCGAACCCACACCGAGTTCTAAATGGACGCATTTGACGTCCTAGATGACTCGGCTACCGCTCGACGTGATATCTTCGGTGCGAATCTTGTGTAGATAAGTGTAGAGCTGTTGGGCAGGCTACACAGCTACTGCGCAACCTCCTCGACCACTGCGCATCCTCCCGCGCATAGCGGTAGCAGTACCGGAGCATTCTGTAAACTCACTCACTTTTATAACGTGATTTTAAAAAAACCTAGGTCCTTTTTCCAAAATCTGATTGCAGCGGGCTCATCTAGGGCCTATTACCTGTCGATTTACGCAAAAATCACGGAAATCGGCCCAGTAGAACGCTCAAACGAACTATGACAAAAAGTATAAATTTACATTGTTTAAATGGGAGAATTCGCAATTTTACCACGTAATATAAAAAAACCTGGGCCATATTTTGAAAATCTGAAAAGAGTTGGCTTATCTAGAGACAATTGCCCGTTGATAGCCGCAAAAATCATGAAAATCGGCCCGGTAGAACGCTGGAACTAAGCGTTACCAGTTTCGCAAAATTAGGAGGTCTCGGAGCTTATAGTATAGATAACCTTGTTGAAAATTAAATGACCTTGGTATTAATAAAAGCAACACATATAATAACAAAAAATTAGTTAAGAAAATAATCAAATTTAGGTTTTTGGGCATATTAAGTTTGCCTATGTGATGATATTTAAGGTGCATACTCCCTTCATGGGATTTTAGCATTTCTTTGATGTCACCTTCCTTGGCTCTTCTTGCGTAGCTTTTGCATAGCATAACAGACCTGGTCATGAAACTTTTCTTTACATAGTTTTGAATGAAGCCATTATTGAGAGAATCATTGTAAAGAAAGTCAAATATGTATTTTTGAGATAATGTTTAAGAAAAAAGTGTATTGTCCAGTGGATTTGTTCTCTAGAATGAAATAATTACTTACCCTCGATGTTGAACTGACGCACTAACTCCCCCTCTGGGGCATTTAAAACAAGATACTTGGCATAGCACCGGGAGATGAAAAGTCCATTGAAACATTGCCATTGAATTGTATTGCTGGATAAAAAAGAAGTAAAATTATTAGTGATTAAAAGATATTAAAAAAGGTATGTTGACACACAAGGAGGATCGATTCTAATGGCGATTTGGAATGGCAGAGCACTCTAGTGCTCCGAGGAAGCGGTTTGACATATATATATGTGTAGACACCTGATAATTTATTCTTGAAAGTCAGTTTTTCTGAAATTTTGTTAGCTTGTAGAAAATTGCGTTAGCTTCAAACTCAGATTTTTGTGCAAAAGCTATTTCCTGATAAAAAGTTGAAAGAGAAGTTCAAAGAAAGTGAAACTAATACTGAGATGCCTTGCTGATCAACCCAGCTCACTATTACTGAGTAATCCTAATTTTTTATTGATGAATAGGCAATATACATGTCACTACTACTAAAAATATTCTCTAGTATTTATTGACATAGTTTAAAATAATTAGAACAAGTTATAAATTCAGTAAACGTGCAATAGATAAATATATCTATTGTAAAGATATATAGTATGTAATACTATAATCATAGTCTTAAGTAAATACTGAGTAATCCTCAAAGGTGAAATGACAACTGTCTTCGAAACCATGTTGCCTAGAATTCTTAGATTTGCTTGTTCCCCAATACCTATTATTTTGATTTTCAAGGATAAAATCTTCAGACAAAACTCGGGATAACACTTTATTTTCCAACAGATTCTCCGGAAAGCAGATTTTTTCCGGAGCTTAGAGCAAAAAATTGAATTTCTCATCTTCTGACTAAGTTTTCAGCACCAAGTCCATGCTAATCGTCAAATTCGGAAACTACATGGTCTCACAGCAGAGGAACTAATTCCCAGTTCCTATGAAAATTGCTGAACTTTTCTTAGGATTTTTTGTTCCTTAATAAATCCTAAAATTTCCAGGCATATCCAGGCCTTAGACACTATGCTTTGGCGCTTAAACTGATAGATATGGATGCAACTCATAATCAAAATGAACCCTGTTTTCATAATTATACTCACCTGACAGTTTTACTAGAATCTACACTATCTCTCAATTCTTGACACAGAGCCATGAGATACTGAAGCATAGTCGTGAAATTAGCAGTCTTAAGATTGCTTGAAGTCATCGCAACACACACCGGTTTGATTCGCTCCATGAATGCATCCTCCTCCAACCTACATTAAGAAAAAAGAGTTAATAAATTATCTGGATAATCGCTAGGCAGCAAAAAGTTTTCATAAACCAAACTGCAGCTTACCTGATTTATTTGCAGCTTATTCAAAGATTAGAAAGTAACTAATAGGTGAGGGGGGATCTTAAATTGAACGCTCTTTTTGTACTGCCTGACCACTCACCAGGTTTGAAAGTCCCGTCTGATTTCTGATGATACTTTATTGATCAAACAAAGCTGAAATATCTACTACCTTATGAATGAATCAGCTGTAAAAAGCAACGCTGTGATCTGATCTAGCGGCCAGTGGAAGTCCAGCTGGCCTTGGACAAATTAGATCAAATAAATTAGTGTTGAGAATCTATGTAAACTTTGTGACCAAAAAAAACAAACAGTTCCCCCATATTAATCTGGGCAAATATTTAGCAAAAAATAGTAATATTTGAGGGGGAAAAATGGAAAATTGAGCAAAAACTTAATTTATTTAGAACAGAAATTTACTGCAAAGAATTCAGTTGAAATGAAAAAATCCTGGTCTTCCTTTTACAAATCCAGCAATTTTCTGACTCATGAAAAGATACACTTTATTTTCCTTTTTTTATTTCTAATGAGTACCTGAAATTTCCAGTCTGCCCAGATTTTTCACCTAATTGATGATATTTGTGAACTGCAAGTGTGACCAAGACTAGGACATAAAGGAATTACTTTGTGAAAGCGGAGTTAACAATACAAATTCATTCAGGCAAAGTAAATCAAGGCCAAGGTATGAGAGGGCTTTTATTTAATCCAGCAGCCTGATTGTTGCAGTGTGATTGGTCAGCTATGTCTTATCGCTGCTTTACAGTGCCTTTGTCAGGTGGAATGGGCAACATATTGTCGGAGACTTGAGAGGTGCCTTTAGCTTGTCGCGGGTTCCACCCGACATAGGCACGATAAAGCAGCAATAAGACATTGCCGACCAATCACGCTCCGCCTTTTAACCTTTGTCATCTATGTCTACCCGACAAACACAAAATTTCAACGATCAGGCTGCAGACCACAGTGGAGAATGCAATGGCCAAAATGAATCTTGATACTTTACTCATCCTGGTCTTCAAGCATGGTCCGATGAAACGCTGGATCGCTCTTCCAAGGTGGACATCAATGGCAGTCCACCGAATCCACCTTGGTCTGCGAATAAGAAAAAGCCAAAAAAGGAATCATTCTCTAGAAAGCATCTTATACCACAAAATATGGCATAATCATTACCTGTTGCTCGGTGGCTTCAGCGAGCAGGAGAGAAATTGAGCCCAAAATGGATCTGTGAGTGGGATGTGCTCAACTCCGATAAATTTCAGCATCAAATCATTCTTGATGGATTCGTCTGCATTCACCACCAAATTGCTGTGAGTAATACCCATTATGCCTGCCTTTGGATGCTTTCGGCCGAGTAGAAAAAGATCACTTGTCCCACTACAGTTTAAGGGAATGGTAAATCAACTCTTCCAGTAGATTCCTTTGATCGTCGCAACATTTCATGTTGACTGTTACATCTTCCAGAGAGCGACGTTTGATAAAAAATTTGCACCAAACATCATTCCGTAAATTTCTCAGTAAAAGATGCAATGAATGATGTACTTATTACAATCGGTTTACTTTCTTGTGATGATTTGATAAGAGGGCAAAGCCACAGCCGAACAGACGGTCAATGTGCCCAGAATTTAATTAGATAATCAAGAGAACTAGTTCCAAACAAACTGAAATAATTTGTCACTATTCGATGTAAACGGTATGGAACACGAAAATTGAGATTTGAAATGTATACGTGACGTTTAATCCACTCAGCAATAATAATACAACCTTTACTATTTATCACACACGTATAATAAAACGTAAACAGAACTGATAACTTGCATGATAACTTGCTGCGGACGACGACACAAGAGAGGAGAAAGGATTACGTCACAGTGTTTATGCGATAGAAGTCGATTTATTATATGGAGTCATATAGACCGTATTCGATAGTGGTTCGATGTATCGTTCGGTTCAAAACAATAGGACATAACCTCGAATCAAATGGTAAGGATGTTAGGATCTAAGTTGGAAAAGCTGAAAGTGAGAAATTTCCTGACGATTTCACTTTGCATTGGCATGTAATACTCAAAAGAATAAAAAATCTGTTACAAAAGACCCGTTCTCTCAGATTTCTGAATTTACTATTGAGTACAGGTAGAGGCTATGTTTATGTTATGAACCGATCGATATCAATACAATCTCACCCGTTTGATGTATCGAATACAGAGACGATCTACTGAAAGAGATTATTATGGGAATACTGCATTACCTCCAACGGCATTACCTCCACAAGACTCCCCTGCGATATATCGAATCGATTGTGGCAATGTGACCCAAGAGGGGTTGCGGCCAGAAGCCGAAAGAGAGCGCTAAAACTCATACAATGTTGCCAGTCTGTGGTTTATGATGTGTTGCTTGTTAAACGAAATGAAGGCGCGAAACCTATCAGCAAATGCCCGTTCTTCTCAATAAGCCAGTTGTACGGTGGATTAATCGCAATGAAAATTGAAGGCGATACATTGTTCAAAACAAATAGTTTTCTCGACTGACCCCTTTAGTCCACATAACTCTGCCGAAACGACCCCGAACTGTGTTGCTTTTCTTGTGTGAGTCGCTTTGTTGATCTTAGTTTGATTTTCTCGGACCAATATTGGCCCA